CACAATCAGAATCGAGAGTGGCAGTGAGGCTGCATTAACAATCGCATTGATGGTTTGATGTAGATCAGTAATCACTCCGTCCTATTTATAAAGATTAGTGCTCAACCAGGAAGATTTCGGTTGTATTTTACCGTGATGATTAGGAGCACGAAGTACTTTTGCTTCTCTTGTGAAATATACTCCGACGCTATCGACGATGCCATGTTTACCACCGGAGCGAACAACGTTGGACCCGCAAGAGCCACGCTTTTTAGAGCTTGTGAGTAGGCACGAAGAATTCCATCCACGCCATCTACCTGTGTCAAAATGTGAGCCCGCTCGTCAGCACGTACAACGACTCCTACCTCAGCGCTGTGTCCATTTAGATTGAAACAGTGAGAAACTGGACTGTTCATCGGCTTGCCACCAAACCCCCAAGCAGCAAAAAGCTTATCGTAATCGTAGTGATACAAAACTTCACCCACGGATTCAATAGCCTGCCAGTTTTCAAACATGATTTCACTGTATCTGATCATGGATTGCTAGCTTACAATCTCGTAAGAGTTCGGTTTTCCGGAAGGGTCCAGGTAATGCAACGAGTCCTGCTGATGAGGATTGCCATTAGAAGCTGCCGGAAAGCCAAACATTCAAATCACAATACGGCAGGGAAATAGAATCATCCGAACCTGTAAAGTCGACTGCGACCATGAAACTCAGCTGGCAACCCCCACGTAGGTAGTCCAGAAAACTGTGGCCAGACGAGATCTTGCATCCCTCTACGTGAAGCTTTCCACCTGCCTGTGAAGAAAATTGAAATGCCTCAAGTCCAGAACATGCGAAAACGAAATAAGGTCCTAAAGGTGTGCAGTGAGCAACACGTTTAGAAAATCGACTGTATTGAATAGAACCTGATTATCCGAAGGCCGCTTCAGTTCAAACGAAACGGTACCACCAGCTGAAGCTTGAAGTTCCTTAAGAGACACCTGCGTAGATCTATATGGAATTTTAAACACCACCACTAGGTAGATACACTGCAAACTAAATGGCTTACCCAATGAGGTCATGCCGACCATTTCCGTTATAATTGAAGCATTCAACTACCAATGGCCGGTCCTGCAAAATATCTGTTGTTTAGTTTACCTGGTCGAGATTCATAATTACCATATCCCCATTATTCAGTTGCTGCAGCGTAGTTCTGACCAGCTTCCATGTCGGATGGAGATTGTTTTTCTTGACCTCAGATTTATAAACAGGAACACTGCTTCCGTCCTCCCTTAGTCTTGAAAGCCTAAGAAAAGGATCCTGCAATTTACAATACTGTGAGACAATGAGCGAGTAAGATATCGACTTACACTCTTGGAGAAGAAGTCTTTGTTATTTAGATCCGAGCATCGTAGAACAAGTTCCACAATTGACTTTGAGTGCTGCATCTCTTCTGCTTTGATGGTAAGCGTTCCCATGCTCTTCACTCCAGTTTTATCTGTTCCACCATCCACCTTGTCTTGTAATAATCTGCTGAAAGATTGTCCAGGGGCAGCTACGACCTGTCGAAAGAATTAATCATTTAGTTGCATATATCTCCAATCACATTCTTACTTCTGCCAGTAGACATGTCATCTCTCCCAAAAAATCTTGCTCCTCAAGAGGAAGTTCCTGAAAAACATGGTATACCAGTGTTTGGAATAGCTTTTAGAATTACCTGTGGATTTACTCCAGCATACTTTGTATCAATGTCATAAACTCGAAACCTGGGCAAACATGTCAATCCTTGAACCAAAACGAATTGGTTTTCTTACAGTAGCTGCTGAATGTCTTGAAAACTGTATGAGACCTTTATGTCTGTCACCCACGACGGATTCAAAGTGTTTGATACAACTTCCGTTCGTCCTACTTCTTCCAGCACCCCGTCTTTCCTTATGAAAGCAACAGCCAGAGGATCACTCTAAAAATCAAAGAACAAGAAAGTTCTTAGTGGTGAAAAAATCCCTGTCAAATACCTTTGAAAGAAAATCTTTGTCTCGCAGCTCTGAAGCCGAGATCCACAACTGTAAACATAAAAGCAGCACAACGATCAATATGCAAAGAAGGAAGGAAATAAATAAACAAAAAACTCGCTACTTGAACCTGTACATCCGCTGGTACACCCCGCGTTCCAGAAAGGAAGTCAGAAGGAACAGCAGTCTCCGTGTCTTTGTCTAGATTCAACATGTCCATTCCACCCACAGCGTCCATACCTCCACTCATATCCGAGCAACATGATCCCATCCTCAACAACTCAACTCGTGCATTCCACTACTAAACTCTCATATCTGTCATTGCAAGAGGAAATCCATAAAGAAGTCCAGTCAAAACCAAGCACAGACTAAAGCATGAGAATAATAAAAAAAAAAATCCCTTGTCTCGTCATACAAAGCATGCAAATTGCAAACGTCCCCATCCCCCACTGTAAGAGCGAAAAAAAGAAAAAAAAAACTATACGGAAAAGCTCTTTCCAGATGCTACTGATGAACGAATTTCCTGATTTCACGATCAATGCGCCCCGGCTGGATCTTGAGAGGGCGATATTTCCACAGCGCGCCTCCCGAGAAGCCACGAATTCCACTCGAAATAACAAAATCTCCCCGCCCCCCCCAAACAGAGCCGCCTCACTCACCTCATGGATCGATCGATGCCGAATCCAGCTTCATAGCCCGCTGCTCCTCGCTGCGAATGCCCTAACTCCACTCGCCGCTGCGCATTCGCTCGCCCTGGCCGCGCATCGACATTCAAAGCCGAGGAGAGGGAGGGATTAGAAATGGACGACTCGATATGAACCTAGTCTTTTACTAAAACCCAGTGTCTCGTGAATTCGCATATTCCACCAGCAGGAATATCCGTTTAACGGTGGAAGAACATTCCGCCAGGCATAAACCCCGGTTAAACCCCGGATTAAAAGCTAAGCTTTGTGCCGATCTGCTTGGCTGGAAAGTTCGAGAAAACTGTGACATCGAACTGTTAGAATGGACATAAGATATGCCAGAGGTTCTTTTCCATCACATCGCCTCAGTGCAAACATGTAAGATTCTCACAAACTTGTATTCTAAATTCTCTGTTGTCCAATGGAGTTAATTGTTAGATCTTTCCAAATAATCTGGAAAACGTCAGTATTCTGAGTGGTTTTAACCACAGAACTTGATGTAAGCTCGGTTGATCTTAGGGGTGGCACATTTGTTAAAAGATCACGCAAGTTGAGCTCAATGAGAACAGAAATTGCTTGCAACTTGGATGCAAGCAAACATGGCTATACATTATCCCAAGTGACTTTCATTTTCTTTCTTCTTCTTCTTCTTCTGATAGTTGTTTTGAAGATCTTTGCTGCATGAACCAATGTAAATTTGCATCTCTGTATGGAGAAGCAAATATACATTGGTTCATGCAAGAGACAGAATAGATAATACAAAATCAGCGTGACAACGTTAAGAACTTCGTTTACTCTTTGAAAAATAGAAGTACGGGAGAAAAAAGCAAACAAATTTTGTATCTGCTTACATTTGTCTAAAAAATCTGCTTGCTTTTGTTCATATCTCCCGTTCTTACATTTTTCAAGAAAAAGAGAAAATCAGTGTGACTGAGAACCATAGGCCAAACCTTATGGATTGATCCATCGTTGCTCCTCCCTGCGAATACCCTAACTCCCCTCTCCGCTAACGCATTCCTACTAGTTAGAAATGGAGGACTCGTGAATTCGCATATTCCACCAGCGGCGCAGGAATATCCCCTTCCCGGCTACCACACTTTCACTCCCACACACACACCACACCATTTCTATCGGCCGAGGCCAGTGACTTACTGGCTGGGCTCCAAGCACACGCCACCACCGCGCTCCCATGCCCGCCTTTGAGCACGCTCTCCACCTCCCAGGAGCGGCGATTCCAGATACAAACGCTTCCATCGCCGGAGCCCGCCGCCACATAGTTCTCGTCCCGGCTCAAGCACGATCGGCTCAAGCTCGTCGCCACCGTGTAGCCCGGCCCCCTGAAAGTCGCCTTGAGCTCCAAGCTCCTCACGTCGAAGAGCTTGAGGACGTTGTCCTTGCCGCTGGTGAGCACCGTCAAGCCACTCCGGGACAGCGACACCGAAGTTATGGCCTGTGGCTCGTGAGCCGTGAGCTCCTTGGCCAGCTTCCCTGTTCGGGTGTCCCAGAAGCGCAAGATCCCGTCCGTGTGGCCGGAGCAAATCGCTGCGCCGTCGGAGGAGATGCAGAGAGAGTTGCAGTTGCTGTGGAAGATCATCGTGTGGAGGCTGTAGCCCGTTTGGAGGTCCCAAGTCTTGATGGTCCTGTCCGAGGCCGTGCTCGCGGCTCTCACGTTGCTGATGTCCACGGAGGTGACTTTCTCGGTGTGGCCTGTGAGGACGTGCTTCACTCGGCCGGAGCGGGAGTCCCAGAGGTAGAGCTTGTGATCGCTGCAGCCGCCGAGAACCATGTTGTTCTCCGGGGTGAGTGCCAAGTCCAGTACTGAGCCGAGAGCGCCGGTGAGAGTTTTCGTGGGAGTTCCTCCGCGCTGAGTGTCCCAGAACTTTACGATGCCGTCGTGCCCGGCGGTGAGGAGGGTGTCGCTGCTGTGCTCGAAGATGATGGCGGCGCAGCCTCCCTTGTCGTGAGCACGAAGTGTGTGGCGGACTTTGCTCGGCGCGCCCAGCGTCATGTAGCTCTCGGCGCCAGCTTCCGAGTGCCTTACAATGCCGTCGACTTGGAGCTTCGCTAGCTCGGCAAGGCTGTTGATCTTGCAGCGTTCCATCATGTCAGCATACATGGCGTTAGCCTTGAAGCAAAATGAGAGAAGCAAGTTAGCAAAAGCTGGAAGAAAAACGCAAGTTCATACCTCATTAAGTCGATCAGCGTCTTGCATTTTCTGCGTCATCCAGCGATCAACAAGCATATTGTTCTCAGCCTCTATGGCTTGGAGGCTCGATTCGAGCTCTTTCACTCGGAGCTTTAGCTGTGTGAGCTCCTCGACGAGCACAAGAACAGCGTTCTCCTTTGCTTCAAAGTCCTTCTCCAATTGGCTTATACGCGCCCTGCCATGTCCTGTAGGATGTTAAAACTCATGTCAAGCTTTTGTGGAGCGAATGGGTGGAGATAGCTAGAGCTACATAAGAAATGATCGATTCAAGAGTGACCAAGTACCTCGCGGAGCTTAGCTCGTGTTGGATCTCCAAAACAAGCGCGTCCTTCTCGGCCAGTTGCGCTCGTAGAGCTTGCGCCGTTTGCATCTCTACGACGAGCTGCTCCGACACATGAGCCTGGGTTTTGTAGCTCTGGGACAGCTCCTGCTGAAGAGATTCCATCTTCTCCTGGATCTCCGTGCCCTGAATTTCAATGCCGCGCCTCCTCTTGAGCTAAGATGCCACAGAAACAATCGCGAAATCGAACCTGATTCGTGAGCGCCCGATCAAGCGCCGCGACCAGCGATGCATGAGCTCCTTCCTCGACGGCCTTGCGTCGCCGCAGGGCAACGCATGCTTGAGCAATGGCGGCGGCAGCTCTCTCCTCGGGCACCGGCATCCCGCGACGACGAAACCCTAGAACACGAAACGCATATTCTTCTCTAAACGGAATGTGCGGTTCTAAAGCAGAATATGTGATCATTAAACGGCATATGTTCTCACATTCTTAGGGCTAACTACGCTCTCACTCGCATTGGGCGAGGTCATGGCGGCGGCCCGGCGCTCTCTTTTCAATCGGATTCTTGGAGCGCGCGCGACACTACTGGCTCAAGATGGCGCAGCTGCGAGCAAGGTTTGTGGTGTAATCCCAGTGGCGGGCAATGGCAGTGGATCTGATGCAATGCGATCTTTTTGGGGATTTCCAGACTGCTGGGGTTTTAGCAGCATCATCCAAGCTCCAAGACGAAGAACGGGGGCATAATCTCCGCAATGGCCTCGCGCTCTTGGGAGCCGCGGCAACGAGCGTGTTTGCTGCTGCTGGCTACGTCTATGCCGACGAGGCGGATCATGGCTTGCCCCCGCCATCATACAAGTGGCCTTACAATGGGTTTTTCGAGGCACAGGATCACGCATCGTAAGTTCTTTTTTTTTTTAATCTCAAGATTTGCTCACCTTTTTCTTTCCTACATTTTTTGATAGGATCCGTCGCGGGCATCAAGTCTATGCCCAAGTCTGTGCTGCGTGCCACAGCATGCAATACATCTCATACCGCCATCTTATCGGTGTGGCTTACACGGAGGAGGAGGTGAAGGCTATGTCGGCCGAAATTGAGGTGACTGATGGGCCCAACGATGAGGGGGAGATGTTCACTCGCCCCGGAAGACCCAACGATTTCCTGCCGGCTCCATATCCGAATGAGCAAGCTGCTCGAGCAGCGAATGGAGGAGCGTATCCTCCAGACTTGAGCTTGATGACGAAGGTACACGCTAGACGCTTTCTTTGTTTCTTTCTTCAAGTTTTGCGCATTTCTTCTTGCAGGCCAGGTTCAGTGGTGATGACTACGTTTTCTCTTTGCTCACTGGCTATCGCGAGCCTCCCGCTGGAGTCAAGGTAAGCTAGATTTTTTTTCCGGAATGAAGCTTTTTTCTTTCTTCACCTTTTGATAGATCAGAGACGGACTTCACTACAATCCATACTTCCCCGGGGGTGCCATTGCAATGCCACAGATTTTGATGGATGGGGCTGTTGAGTACGAGGACGGGACTCCCGCGACTGCCTCTCAGGTTTCTATGATCTCTCCGAAAAATCTTGGCTAATTTTCTCTTGCTCGTATCTATCAGATGGCCAAAGATGTGGTTTGTTTCCTCGCCTGGGCAGCAGAGCCAGAGATGGACGAGCGCAAACTGGTGAGTTAATCTTTCACTCTTCTCGTTCTTCGATCTTAAGTCACTGATGTCGTGGCTTTGGTTTTCTAGAGTGGATCCAAGTGGTTGTTCGCTATAGTCCTAATGTTCTTCGGAATTACCTACACCAAGAGATGGAGGTTCGCTCCCATGAAGGCGCGGAGACTCGTGTTCGATGTCGTGAACTAAACGAAGAAACCAACGAACTGGATGGAAAAATTTTTGTTTTGTAAAACGTTTTGATGGAATAATGTGAAATAATCTCCCCCTTTCGTGCCCTAATTCTGGAAGTCTCGGTCTAAAGGGAGCGAGGCGCAATCTGCGTGGAGGACACCAGTCTCTCGGCAAGCTCCGCGAGCCAATGGCCTCCCATGGCCGTTTCTAGGGCGAGTGTTTGAGGTATGGCCACTGCCGAGCGCCGGAAGAACCCTAGCTTAGATCCATAGATTCTTGGATGGAGCATTCTCTCGCTATACAATTCGCGCATTTGCATCGTCGCTGGAGCCAGAAATTTCCTCGAGCACTTCTCGAAATATTTCGCTCCAGATAATCCTCTCTCTTGCTTCTCAGATCATGGACGACGATTCCTGCGCGACGCCGATCCCCCAGGATCATCTCCACGACGCGATGGAGGGCGGCGAGGTCGCGCTGCGATCCACGCGCGCCTCGCGCTGGCTCAAGGACGAGACCATCACGCTCGTCCAGGCCAAGCGCGTCTACGAGCAGGAGGTGGCCGAGGCGGCGAGCCGCGGCCAGATCGTCAACAAGGAGCAAAAGTGGAAGAGGATCTCCAAGAAATGCGAGGACGCTGGAGTGGTCCGCGACGCATCGCAGTGCCGCAAGCGCTGGCAGAACATCGTCCGAGACTACAAGAGAGTCAAGGATTGGCAGAACAGGAACTCGCGGCAATCCTACTGGCTCATGTCCGTGGAGGAGAAGCGCGAGAACAAGCTCATCGTTCCTCCGGTTTTCGACAAGGATATCTTCGAGGAGCTGGATCACTTCCTCGCCAATAGGCCTGGAGTGCCTCCCACGGTGTATGATTCGGAGAGGATCGTCCACCAGCAGCACCATCACTTCAAGCGCCAGCCGCAGGTGGACGATGGCGCTCACGATCACGCCGCTGCCGCGTTCTTGCAGGCCGGGGATTTGTGTCCACCATTGCTCCAGATCCCAAACGGTGAGCTCAAGTTCTTCTCTTGGTTTGATTCGTGATTGATCGCGAACTTGTAGCTCCATCGTCCAACGACGAGCAGGGGATTTCTTCGTCCGGGAAGAGGAAGCGGCCCAAGCCGGCGCCGGCGGAGGATAGCATGGACAGGCTCGAGGCGATCTTGGAGAAGAACACCAAGATCGTGATCCAGATGCAAGAGAGGATGTGCGAGAAGCACGAATCACACCTCGAGGCCATGGTTCACGCCATTCAAGAGATGACCTCCTCCTTGAACAAGATGATTGACAAGCTCTAAGGTTTTTTAAAAATCTAATTTTAGCATATTCAGTTTTTCGAATAGAATATTCTCTGAGGTATATTTTTAGCATATTCTCTTTATTCGTTGGGAAATATTCCATAGATTTTAGGTAATGTCGTGTTTGCTTAGAAATGTAGTGGCCAGAGGATTGAGGAGCTTGGCAAGCGCTCAGGCGATGGAGCCATCCATTTCAAAGCGCTTGTGGCAGCAATCCAAGCGCGAGGCAATGGTATGTCTGTATCATCCATTTGTGGTGTCCATCGCTGCTGGGACGCTGGATCTTCACAGCTTCCAGCGATTTATAGCGCAGGATTCCTTCTTCCTGACGGCATTCGCGAAAGCGTAAGCTCAATCGACAGAATTTTCCTGTTGTTGTTCACATTTTTCTTTTAGCTATGGTTTGGCCATAGAGCGCAGCGATGATCGAGAAGTTAAATCTGAGATTTGCAAGCTCCAACAGGCTGTGTACGAGGAACTTGAGCTCCATTCTTCCCTCATGAAGGTCTCTTGCAAAGCTTTTCTTTTCTTTTCTGTTTTTTTTCGTCTTTTGATTTGTAAGAATTTGCCTTCTTGCAGGCTTGGAACTTCGATCATACACCACCATCGCCAGCAACTTGTGCCTACACAGATTTTCTCCTCGCAGTGGCTGCTGGGAAGAAAATTGAATCCGAGAAAACTAAGGTGCCGATGCTCACTCTGGCAGCAATGGCTCCGTGCATGCGTCTCTACGCCTTCCTAGGCCAAGAGACGAGAGTTTTCTCTCGAGAAAATCATCCATATCGCGACTGGATTTCGACTTACTCGTCGCCTGGTTTCGAGGTAAAATCAGTTTGTTCTTGGATGTTTATGTTTGAATCTAGTTCTGAGCTAGCTTGTCTTGGCAGACTGCTGCTACTCGACTCGAGCAGCTTCTCGATAGACTCTCGGAAGCTCAAGAGACTACGGCAGCGGAATTTCAGAGTATGCAAAGTTTGTATCACCGTGCCATAGCGTACGAGGTGAGCTTCTTCGATGCCCAGGAAGTGCATGGCAGCAACGCTTTTGTACCGCTGCTAGAGAGTGTAGCACTCAAGGATCGCAACTTCGTGCTCATCTCTGATTTTGATTCTACTTGCACCGTCTCTGATTCATCCCCAGTTCTAGCGGAGCTGGCTATGGCGGTCGATCCAGATGTAAGGAGGAAATGGAGCAGCCTCTCGGACGAGTATTTCAGGGACTACTCCAAACTCCTGGAAGAAGTTGTTCTTCGTGGTGGTCGCGAGAAAAATGGTAGACTTTGTTTCGTAAATGTTGGAAAGAACTGACCATATTGTTTTTCTTTGTGTGTGAAGAGTACGACTACGATGCGATCAAAGAGGCTCTCCAAGTTCTTTCCGAGTTTGAGAAGCAAGGGAACGCGAAAATCGACGCCTCCCGCGTTTTCCAAGGCATTAAGATCGATGATATCAAGCAAGCCGGACAAAACATGGCACTTCAAGCTGGCTGTGCCAGTGTGCTTTGCAGGCTAAGTTCCAAAATCTCTTGTCAAATCCTCTCGGTTTGCTGGAGCCGGACCTTCATTGAAGCAGCTTTCTCCAAAGGTGAGACGAGTTTTGTTCCTTTTCGTTGTTCTTACTCTTGCAATGCCAGAGAATATCACCAATGTTCCTGTCCATTCCAACGAACTCGAAAACGATGGGAACTTTACAACCGGGAGCTTGATCAGACGCGTCGAGACACCGATTGACAAGGAAGAGACGATGTTTCGTGAGATCCTACACGCTCCGGACGACAAGTTTGTGATTTTCATTGGAGACAGCCTCACGGATCTGCTAGCCTTGCTCCGAGCTGACATTGGAATTGTTCTAGGAACGAGCTCCAGCCTCGATCGAGCCTCCAAAGCCTTTGGAGTGAAGATCGTGCCACTCTTTTCCGGCCTCGTCCAGCAAAGCTCTCGATCAGCGTGGAGAAAAGAGGAAGGAGTTTTGTATCGAGCTTCTGGATGGCTGGAGATAGAAGCGTTTCTAGCTGGTAATTAGCTTAAAATTATCCGCTAAACGTCGATTTGATATGTTAGGCACTGCTGGTCTAGTGGTAGAATAGTTCCCTGCCACGGAACAGACCCGGGTTCGATTCCCGGGCAGTGCATTTCCCGATATTTTCATTTGTCACTGTTAAAATATCTGGCATCACATAAATATCCCAGAGTACTCCACGTGGCCCGCGCTTTTTCGCGATATTTTTCGTCCACCGCTTGCCACGTGGTTGTCTAGCCCCATGGCGGCGGCATATTCCTCGGTGCCTACTTCTCATAGGCCGATAAGCTTTGCTTTCATTCCTGGTAGCTTCACCACCGCCTTGGCTCCATGCTACCCTTGCGTTTTGTGATTGTCTGGATCGGATGAGCGTGATGCTTGGCGGATCTTGAGGAGATCGATTGGCGTTGCGCTTGCTAGGGCTTTGGATTGGAGCTGCCGGAGGTGAGCTTTCTTGCGAATCTTGGCCGAAATATCTCCTCTGCGCTCGAATACGATGATTGGGAGTAAGAACATCGCAGTCGCCAATGCCACAATCCACCACAGATTGCCGCCGAATGCAGCTCAATCGTGGGAGCACGACAGGGAATCTTGCGGCGAGTCGAGATTGCGGAGCAGGGCTTCGTCGTCGCCATCGTCGACGCTAACATCCGAGACCTCCAATCAATCCAAGAACTACTCTGGCGATGACACGGTATGGATGAAATATCTCTTGCTTGCTTTTTTTTTCTGGAAATTCGAGCGATTTCGCTTGTGATTCTGACAGAAGGAGGAAGAATCCTTGGACACGGCCTGGACGGATGACAGGCACTCCTCGTATCTAAGCAGCATGGAGGAGATGTTTGTGAGAAATATGTATGACCGGGAGTACTGTGCTGTGGATATCTGTGGCGAGGCTGCCTCTTCGTGTGATCAAGACTGTGTGGAATCCAGGCCTCTTAGCTTCTTCAAGGTTGGTTCTTCGTTTATAAACTTTTCAAGCTCTCAAGTCAGTTTGTTCTTCGTTTCTTTCTTCACAGGTGATGCAAGGTGGTGGATGGCAACCATTGCCATGTCGAAGGCTCCACTCTTGGGAGCTTCCATCTCCAAACATATTTTCCAGCCCCTGGGTGCGGCACTTTACATCATCCAAGTCGGGTGCTGTGGACGATCAGTCTGATCCAACTGCCGCTACTCCTCCCAAGGCCAAGGAGAGACTGATTTGCAGAACTTCCACTGCCTACGAGCTCGAGGACGATGTTCCAGAGGTTCCCGACGTCGAGAACCGGGCATCGGTGTGGCTGGAGAGGATAAACAAGCGCTCAACAGTGTCGTCCACTGGGAATTCCACGGCTGACACAGGTCACTCTCCCAAAACCACCAGAGAAGTAAACAAGAGGAGAGAAAAAAAATAGCTCATTTGCTGATTTTCAACTCTGATCTGATGTTCTCGTGGCTTGGTGGATCAGATAAGCGCTCAGCTAGAGATGCAAACTCCGATTCCACAAAGTCCGGCTCTCAACAAAAACACCACCCTCGAGTTTCAACGATCGAAACGATAGATCAAGTGAGTCTTTTCTTTCTCTCTGTTTCGCGGGGAGATTCATACACACTGTTGCTATCATCAGGTGGTGCCTTTAAGAAGTGATAGTGATGCCGAGGGAGAAGAACGCAGCTGCAAACTCCGCAAGATTGTTTCGAGCAGCAGCAGTAGCGATCGAAGCGATCGAATTTACAGCGCTAGAAGAAGGCGAAGGTCGTGAAAGAAACTCGCAAAGAGCGTGTAATTTCCAAGTCCTCCATTCTTTTTTCTAGAAATCTATCCTATCTATCCATCTCTTTATCGAGTTCTCGTGGTCAGTGTTTCAGACCTTTTGTTTGGCTCAGGAAAAAAAAGCTGCCATTGCGACCGTGTATGGTATTAATGTCGACGTGGACAGTTACTAAAAAATACCCGTTAAGATGCTAGCATATTCCTTTATGTTAGGGCAGTAAAGAGGTTTTGGTTTTCCTCCTGGGCGGGAAGATCTATCTCAGGGTATGGCGACGCGCGTGGCTCCTCGATTCAATCCGCAAGACGAGAATGCGGCTCCGATGAGCGGTAAGATCTCTTCCTTTTGATCGCTGGCGCCGACTGTTGCGCTGCCGGCAGGGAAATCCGTGATTCCTCCAGCTACGATCCAGCGGCCGAAGCTGTCGAACATCACAAACAAGCAGCAGCTCCCATCCGCGACGCCCAAGCCTAAGATCGCTCCTCTGGGCAACAAGATCGATGCTGGGAGAACGCCTCTCAGGAATATTTCCAATGTGCGAGCAAAAATTGGAGGTAAGCGATGTTGGAATTCTAGCCTTTGAATTCTCTTTCTCTGGTCAGGGGCGGCGGCGGCTCCTCAGGAGAGCAAGGCGGACGAGTGGGCGAAACAGGGAATCGAGAGGGTGCATTTCACCGGGGATGATATGGAAGCTCTCCGGCAAAAGCTTGAACACCAAGGTGTGTTAACGTTTTAAGGAGGAATTTGTGCCCTGTTTTAATGCTGTGCTGCTTGTAGAAATGGAAAAACGAGTCAAGGCTGTGCTCTCCTTCCGGACAGAAATCTTTCCGGTGTGGCCTCGGCCTGCTCCAAAAGCTGATGTAAAGTTGTCTCGTAACTTTGCTACCCTCTTCTTACACCGTTGTGGTTGCAGGGGCCTTTCGATTGCGATGGAAAACTCAAGCTGGATACGTACGAAGAAGTTCCCGACGTAGTTTTTGGTAAGAGTGTGGTTAGTTGGTGCTTCAGGAAGTTTGATTTTCCGGGTTTTGCAGCCGATGTAGAAGAAAAGGATGTCGAAAACTCAGAGACCGGATTCGAGGCAATATTTGTGGTTCGATGACATCACTATGCATATACTAATGTTTCCGGTGTAGGGTCTTTGAGTTCTTGCGCATGTCGTCATACAAGGTAGAATTTCCATTCACTTTACTCGGTCCTGTTTGATATTTGTGCTTGCTGATGAATGCAGGTGACTGCAGCAGTTTAGATTTTTTTTATTTGAGCCGGTAAAGTGAGATTCTAGGCGGGCCTTATGTGTCTATGGTTCTTTCCGTGATTAAGCGAATGCTCTTCTCTTTCCGTCTCCAAAAGCTTTACGTGACTGGCTTTTTGTGGGTATATCCTTCCTGACTTTGTCTTTGTCAAGTCGACTGGTTAGTAGTTTACTATTCGTTGTCTATGTGGTTTTGTTCTTTTCATTTTTCTTCTTTTTTTTTAACCTTTTTATTTTCGTCCTTGCTTTTTTGAAATGAGCTGAAAGGCGCAGATTGATGAGTCGCTTTGGTTGATCATGGGAGTTTTTTCATGTCTAAGGCTGATATGGTTGTTGTTTATAGCATACCAGACATCTGCCTGCAGCTCTCAGAAATTTTCCCCACAGTACTTCGAAGTATCTTCAGTGCTGACCCCTGGCCACTCTGAATTCGAGCAGCACGCTACTGAATTCTGGACTTACGATCGAGCTTCTGGCGCTTGGTTGAAAGTGGATATCAGTAAGTTTACTAGAAAGAATCCAAGGGACAACAACGGAGAAATCAAGAGGGCAGCAACAGATACTGAGACTGAGTTTATTCATCCTTACAGTGGAAGGGTCTCCCTGATAAAATTTACTGAAGTATCTCTCTGGAGCAGTGGCCACAGCGGGTCTATTTACGAGAGGCTATGGAATGGAGTCCAGTGGGTGATCATTCCACATGATTTACCGGACTCAGCAGGGTATGGAACTGGCGTTTACTCTGTCAACCGAACTATGCTAACTCTCTCCGATTCTGGAAGATTGTACCAGGTTTGATCGTGTCCTACGCTTTTTATAATTACTATGTTCTAAGAGTTTGTTCGGTGCTTGGCAGCTTCAGATAGATGCAGAAGGACATCTTCACTGGGCAAGCTCGGGGCCCTGGCCGTCTTCAACGCCCTCTACGGAATCAAGCAGCATATTTCTAAAAAAGTCTGCATTTTTGTCTAGTGATGGAAGCTCTCTGTTCTTCACTACAGCAGATGGTTGGCTAGCAGAATTATGGTCCCTCAGTCCTGTGAGGTACGCTTCCAGGACTGATATTTGCGTTTTTGATTTTTGATTTTGTAACTTTCAATATAGGTGGACAAACCATGGTCATCCTCGTGGGGGCGATGTAGGCCATGTAGTCGATGCTGGAGGTTTTAGAGCCGGGGTAATTTTTACTGTCAGGTAGCCAGATATTTGTCGGTTTCAGATGAAACAGGTTTTCCGTTTCAGCACAAATGGCGACCTCTATGAATACGATGCAAACGCGAAGCCCGCTTGGAGAAAGCACATTCGAGACGGCTCATCTGTTGAAGACTACGAGTTGGCACCCGTAAGTGGATTTTCAGCTCGTGATTTTGCAGGGAGCCGCACTTTCTCTCTTTTTCTCTTGACAAAGGTATATAGATGCTAAACCTCGATTATTTCGCTGAAAACTGAGATCATTCTTTTGCAGAACGGACTTTTGGTGGAAAGACGACTTGCTCAAGCAAAATGGCGCTGGGTGCTGCATGCAAAGCCGCCGAATGCTCGCCTAAGCTTGTCTCTAGGACCTGTGTTTACTGTGAAGAATGGAAACACCAAGAATCTCTCGTTCTTTTTAGTGTCGGAGCATGGTGTGGTCTACGAGTACAACCTGCCGTTTCTACACGGTACAAGGTTCTTTTCCAGGACTCTTATTTCATTCTTTGAGCTTTGAACTTCGAAAGAACATTGCAGGAAATATAAAAAGCACCACCGTCGCTCTGCATAACGGAACATGGACGGATCACGGTCGGCCAGCCGATGCACCCGTGATGGTTTCAGTTCCCGGCGTAGCTTTGAGCCTGGAGAGGATCTTCTTTACACTTCAAGATGGACGGCTTGGTGAGTTACATCTAGACGGCTTTGGAGGTACCAGTGTAGGACCGATATCCCGTTCGAGCTTGGCGAAAAAACGGGATGGAGACTACGTATGGTCGGTGTTTGAGGCCCCGGAGAGTGAGGGTGGGAACTCCGACTACTGCTCGACGTCACTTGGACCTTCAAACTGCTTGGAAGGCATTATGGACAGAAGTAGTGACTTCACAGGTGATCACAGGGAGCAGCAGCAGGGTATTTTTCATGGTGGTTCTACGGTACAGGAATGGTTTCGAATAGGAAAAGGTGGTGACCTCTTCCGGGCAAGGGCACTTCTTTTCGGAAAGTCCATCTTTTTCGTTGGACGAGATGGTGCGGCAGCAGAGCGGTTCTTCAACGGCAAGGTCTGGCTGTGGCTGCGGCACGACTTTGCCTTCCAGATTCGTGCGGTATTGGGAGTTTACAATGCCAGCGTTTTTGTGACGGACTTCCATGGAAGCTTGCTTATGCGAGAGTGGAATGGCAACGCTTTACAGTGGCTCAATTGCTCGGCTCTCGTGGGGGGCTCGACAGTTATCTCTGGTAGTCCCTGGGACGGCCATTTCGGCGACGTAAGAACAGATGCGCAGTTTTATATTTCTCCCGGTGGAGACTTGCTCGAATTCATCGTAAGCACGTATTTCTCAAGCTTTAGTGCGTGCGTTAACAGTTTGTTTCCAGGTAGCGTTTCGAGCTTTTAGCTGGAAGAATTGCGGTCACCCTCCAGATACTCCGGTTGCTGCAATTGTCGACCAGGAGGTCTTCAGATACCGAGTCATTTTTGTGATTGGCACAAACGGGAAGCTGTACCAGTTCAATCGGGTCACAAGCTTCTGGCACACTTACCAGCAGCAGCCTACACAGCTCCGGCTTTCACCGATTCCAGGCGTGGTTTACAGGCCCAGCTTCCTCAGCACCTCCGGATCCCTCTTCATGCGCTCCGAGAATGGAAACTTGGTGGAGTTCGGCTGGGATTCAGCAAATGGATGGTTTTGGTCAGATCACGGCACTCCAGCACCAAACAGCTACGTCGCAACCTCACCCGGCCCGTGCATGGACGAAGATGGCAGCGTTTTCGTGGTTTCTTCGACTGGAAGAGTGCACGCAAGGCAGCTTTTTGGTGGAAAATGGAGATGGCGGGACTTTGGGCATCCTCTTGCGGGTGAAAGTGACGAGAAGAGGCATGTCTTCGTGGTGGAAGATTCAAAGACAGGGAATGCGGCTGACTTGCTGGTTTCGTTTGAGGGCGAGTGCGATACTACGGTAAGCTGATCGATCTCGCTCACTCTGCAAGGAATTCCTTGTTCTTTTCTTTTGCAGATCGATTCGGTGCGTCCGGTGGCCTCGAGCAAAGACACGGTAGCGTTCGTTTTGAGAGATGGCAGAGTACGTGTTTTTCTTGAAGTTTTCTGGGGGAGATGATCGAGATGTTTGTGTGATCTTTGCAGCTAGCAGAGCTCAAGCGAGACGGAGATGGATCCAACTGGGAATGGGTGTCGATCGTGGACACCCCAGCTTCGTCCTGTCTCTCAAGCTACTGGACACAAGACTCGTGAGATCCAAAGTAAAGATCTTCGCGATAGCTCTAAGAACGAAGCAAGTAACTCACTTGTTCTTCGCGATAGCTCTAAGAACGAAGCAAGTAACTCACTTGCTCTTTCAATGGATCTCTAGTTTAGAGTTTTAGGGTTTATGGGAATGGAGGAGGAGGAGCAAGTGATTGGCGATTTCAATCGATGGCGGCAGCGGCCAGAGCTGGCGGAGGCGGTGGCGGCGATCAAGGCGCTCACGGCGGTCATCCAGCGCAGCCAAGCCAGCACCATGATGGGCCTCGAGATCGAGCTCAAGAACGCCTCCGAGATGCTCAAGGTTTTCTTGCTTCCTCTCGCGTAGCTCACTTCACTTAGCTGGATCTTCACTCCAGGCGTGGGACAGGAGCTCGATCTCCTTGTCCGCCGGCTGCGATCTCTTCATGCGCTACGTGACGAGAACCTCGGCGCTCGAGTACGAGGATATCAATGCCGGCAAGTCGCGATTGATTGAGCGGGGCGAGAGATTTGGCGACATTTCTCTCAAGGTTTGTCAGTGCATTGGTTGCATCTGTGCTGTGAACGATCGATCAAGCGAGCTCACAGTTGCAATGCAGGCTCGAGAGACGATCGCTCTTCTTGGCCAGGATTTCGTCCAAGATGGTTGCTGCATCCTCGTCCATGGATCGTCTCGCGTCGTCCTCGCGCTCCTCAAGCTCGCTGCTAACAACGGCAAGAACTTCACAGTCATCGTCACAGGTACTGTGTCTTTTCTTCCCAGGAGTTCCTAGTTCTTACTTTAGATTCTATAAGTACTATAGATCTTTCGGATAGTTCTTCCATAAGCTTTGGAAGTTCTGCAGTTAGTGTGTTCTTCCGAGAACGTTGGAGGAATTCTAAAGGGCTCTTTGTGCTTTTGTTGTAGAAGGCGGGCCAAAGAAGACTGGCATGGAGGTCTCGAAGAAACTTAGCGCCGCCGGGATCCCAGTGACCGTGATCGTCGACTCGGCGGTGGCTTACACCATGGACAGAGTGGACATGGTGCTGGTCGGAGCCGATGGCGTGGTGGAAAGCGGTGGGATCATCAACGTCATCGGGACTTTCCAAGTCGCCTTGATCGCTCACAGCATGAAACGTCCATTCTACGTCGCTGCCGAGAGCTTCAAGGTAAAGAGCAAAGCTCTCTTTCCCTTCACTGAGTGAGTTTCTTGCAGTTTGCGCGGCTCTATCCTCTGGATCAACAGGATCTATCAATCTCCACGGGCCAGGAAGAATCGAGTAACCCGGCCAGAGACTACACCCCTCCTCACTACTTGACGCTGCTCTTCACGGATCTGGGAGTGTTGACGCCATCGGCTGTAAGCGACGAGCTCATCCAGCTCTATCTCTAAGAATCCAAGCTCGTCTCGTTCTTGGGCGATTTCCTCTCGATCCCTCAGACAAGGAAGCTATGGAGCTCGATCGAGACGAAAGAGCTCTGATGCTTTGGAAACTCTAAAGGCTTCCAAGCAAAAAAATTCCATTTGTAAAGATGAGAGATGGTCTAAATTTGATACTTTCTTTTTGCCATGAAAGATTCCAGAATGGAAGGGGAGAAAGAGGTGGAGAATTAGGGTTCTTGGGCTGGGCGATGAACTGGGTAAGCGGGCTGCTGTATGGCGCGGGGGGCGTGGTGTGTACCTGCGTCGTGCTGCTCGTCGTCTTCCAGGAGAGGCTCGTCTACGTCCCAGTCATCCCCGGCCTGTCCAAGGGCTATCCAATCACTCCCGCGCGCCTCAATCTCGCCTACGAGGACGTCTGGCTCACATCGCTGGATGGGATCCGCCTCCACAGCTGGTTCATCAAGCTCTCGAATCCATCTCTCAGCCTCAAAGGTAGGAGATCGATCGATCGATCGAGAAATGGAGAGATTTGGATATTTCGGTGGATTTTTAATGTTCTTTGTCTTGGCAGCTCCGACTGTGCTCTTCTTCCAGGAGAATGCCGGAAGTATGAAAGCATTTTCTTTCTCCTTCGTTTGAGTTCTTTCCTTGTTCTTCGTTGTTTTTTTTTTTTCCCCTTGTGCTTAGTTTTGGTGCCTTTGGAATTTTCTTGCAAGCAGACATTGCTCACAGGCTTGAGTTCGTCCAAGTGATGATGGCTCGACTGAAATGCAACGTTTTCATGCTCTCGTATCGCGGGTGAGTTCTTCCTCTCTTTCTTTTTCTCGTTTCTATGATGTTGGTTTTGACAAGCTTTTGTGATGATCAGCTATGGCGCAAGCGATGGACGGCCAACGCAAAAGGGAATCGTGCTGGATGCTCAGGTAAACAAACACCAAGCACAGTTCACTCCAACACAAAAGCGGCATTCTCTTTTCCAGGCAGCGCTGGACCATCTTTCGCAGAGAAAAGACATTGATACGTCGAGAATCGTCGTGTTTGGGAGATCGCTGGGAGGGGCCGTCGGTGCCGCACTCGTGAAGAACAATCCCGGCAAAGTAAGCGTTGCTTCTTTTTTTCCTCGATGATTTAGCCGAGATTCTGGACAGGTCTCCGCCTTGGTCCTCGAGAACACTTTCACGTCCGTGCTGGACATGGCCGGGATTCTACTTCCAGCGCTCAAGTGGGTCATCGGTGGCACGGAAGCCAAGGGCATCAAGCTCATGAATTGTCTGGTGCGATCGCCATGGAACACTTACGAGCTCGTCAGCAAGGTTGGTTTATTCTTTCTATCGCGTAAATCTTTCTCTGTTTGCTCACTTGGTTCTTCCAGATCCGTGAGCCTCTCTTGTTCTTGTCCGGCTTGCGAGACGAGATGGTTCCGCCGCTACACATGAGGCAGCTCTTCGACGCTGCTCGTCACAACGACAAGCGCGTGTTCGTGGACTTCCCAACTGGAATGCATATGGATACGTGGTTGAGAGGCGGCGATCGCTACTGGAGGGTGATCCAGCTCTTTCTCGAGCAATACACATCGGGTACTTCTAGCGTTTCTACGTGAACTTAGCTTCTAAGATCGATCTCTCTTTCCTTACTCGCAAGAAGTTCGTTCCACTACGAGAACTTGCAAAGTTTTCTCTCGGTTGTAGGCTACAAGTATAATGATCGAAGAACTTTGGATGATCGTAAAAGTTTTAAAGAGAAGAAGAATGGAGCTTGAAGAGGTTGTAGCTATGGAGTTTTGGAGGAGAAGGAAAGGAGGAGGGTGATGGTGGAGCTATGGACGCAAGTACTAAGGAATTGCCGGTCGGGAGCACAGCGTGTGGTTCTAAATGGAACCGAGCAAACGATGGCTATGGAAGAACTGGAGAGATCTTCCAGAGTGAGCGCTGCCACTTACGCTTCCTTGCTCAAGCAATGCATAGCTCGCAAGGCGCTTGGCCATGGCAGGCAAATCCACGCTCACATCCTCGCCGCCAAAGAGAAAGATCCTCGCGCCGCGCCCACCGCGCCCTTCTTGGGCAATCTTCTCCTCCAGCTCTACGCTCGCTGCGGCGACCTCGATCGCGCGCGATCGATCTTCGATGGCCTCGCCCACCGTAATCTCTTCTCGTGGACGACGATGATGGGCGGCTACGTCCAGCGCGGGCGATTCGATCGCGCGCTGGATCTCTATCACTGCCTCGAGAAGAGAGAAGAGCCCTCCTATCGATCGATCGAGCCGGATGCTTTCGTCTACACGATTGCGCTGGCGGCGTGCTCGAGCTTGGGGGATTTGGCCAGCGGGCGGGCAATCCACGCGCGCTGCTACGATCGATCGATCCGGGATGTGATCCTTGACACCGCGATCATCAACATGTATGCCAAGTGTGGCTGTGTTGGAGAGGCAAAGATCGTCTTTGATTCGATGCGCCAGAGAGATTCCATCGCCTGGAACGCGACGATCGCAGCATTTGCCCGGAATGGGCATTTGCGCGAGGCGATCTTGCTCTATCTGGAGATGACCGCGCAAGGGCTAGATCCCAGCGAGGCGACGTTTGTGAGTGTTCTTGGCGCTTGTTCTTCCCTCTCTCTCGTTCGATCCATCCACTTGCGATTCCTTGAGAGTGGGATCCAGTCCAGCGATGCCACCACTTCCCTCATTGCGGCATTTGGGCGGTGCCAGAGCCTGGACGAAGCAAAGCTCGTGTTTGATCGAGCGCCGCGGTGCTCCATCACGATCTTCGCGTGGACGGCGATCATCGCGGCCTACACGCATCACGGGCGTTGCAAGGAAGCGCTGGAGCTCTTCCAATCGCTGCTCCTCTCGATCGATAGCCACGGCCGCGAGGATCTCGAGCCCGATGGCTACACTTACTCGATCGTGCTCATGGCGTGTGCTAACACCGGAGCAATCGATCAGGGCAGGGCTATCCACGCGAGGATCATCGCGAGAAAGAAGCGCACTGGATCATCGATGATGGAGAGCTCCGTGCTCGGATCGCTCATCAGCATGTACTCCAAGTGTGGATCCCTGGACGAGGCGAGAGAAGCCTTCGATCGCGCCGAGGAGCAATCGCGATCCGGGGTGGTGTGGAACGCGATGATCGCTGGCTACGTCCAGCACGAGCGCGCCCAAGACGCGATCGAGCTCTACCGCGCGATGGCGAGTCAAACCTCGCCCCCGATCGAGACCACGGCCTTCACGCTCTCGATCCTCTTGGGCGCGTGCGCGAGCTTGGAATCGCTGGATCGCGGGCGAGAGATCCACGCCACGATCATCGATCGAGGGATGGAATCCGACACCGTGCTGCTGAATTCTCTGGTGAGGATGTACTCCAAATGCGGTAGCCTGCTCGATGCGATGCGCGTCTTCCAGAGCGCACTCCAAGATCGCGATCGCGGCGGCGGTGGATCCATCGACGCCATCACCTGGAACGCGATCATCGTCGCCTCTGCTCGCTCCAGCGCCGGCAACCTCTCGATCCACCTCTTCCACGAGATGCTCCTCCACGGCTTCGATCCAAACGGGATCACACTCACGGCCGTGCTCACGGCGTGCGGCCACGCGGGGATGATCGAGAGCTTCCACAGCTACTTCGCTCTCGTGGTGGGCGATTGCAGAGTGGTGCCGGGGATCGAGCATTACGAATGCGTGGCGGATCTGTTGGGTCGATCTGGGAGGATTGGGGATGTCCAGGAGCTCCTCCAGGCAATGCCATTCTTCCCAAACGCAGCGCCCTGGAGGAGCTTGCTGGGCGCGTGTAGAGTTCACAGTAGTGGTGTGGAGATTGCTGGAGTGGCGGCTGGGGAGGTGGCTGTGATCGAGCCGAGCGATCACACGGCATATGTGATGCTCTCCAATGTCTATACCATTAACAACAGTTAGATCACATATATTGTTATTACTTTTGTGGACAAGAACCTCTTACCTGTGATAAAGTATATATTGAGTTGGGATTTTATTCTTCTAGATGGCACCACAAAATTTAATATAAGTCGTATGCATTTTCAAAGTATGACATGTGTTTGTTTTCAAAAGCATCAATTTAAATTAATAAGTTATCGAAAATTTTATTTTTAACAGTGTGAGTGCATGGAATATGGAAATGAAATGCAGAAATGTGCACATCAATAAACTCAAAAACATTAGTTTAATCTCTTGCAAGATAAAAGTTTCCAAGGATATCAAGTGGTATTGATTGAAATTAATCTGACAGCTACCAAAATCACATTATGCTAATATCTGTACACTTCACAACAATATTATTTATCTTTCTGAGAACATCTACATTTAACATAACAAAAATGAGGGGGGAAATTATATTCCCATTTGAACGTTCCAAGATTTAGAATTATGTTGTTCCTGCTGAGATATTGTGATCAAGGTGGAAAGTGAAATATAACACTTATAAACACTGAAAGAATCAATCTTTTCTAGCTAACAGTGTTCTTCACATATTTGTGGAAGTCTACCCGTGAGCCAGGTCGAGTGGAGCGCACAACTCGGCCTTTTATAACATGGACCGACTATAGCAATGGACTATGTCATCCATTCTGTAGCTAATGTGTGCCTGGAAGAATGGAAGAAGTAGAAGAAAACTCAAGCTTTGTTTTAGTTTAGCGCACATATAAAGGCATAGTACCTTGACTTGAGCTAGTCAGTCCATTCTTCTCCGTGTCTTCTCACAAGTCAGGAGCATGGCAACTTTCTTGTGCTGGATGGACTCCATTTCCTCTCTTTTGCTGTGCCCAAGTTGCAAAGGCCATGTATGCATATCAGCAAATCCCTGAGAAAACTGGAAAGGCTTACACTGGAAGGAGGATGTCGTCAATCTGGTCGTGCTTCAGCAGCAGCAGCAGCAGTAGCAGCAGGAGCAGCAGCAGCAAGAAGAAGAAGCGGTCCAGGAACGGCCTGCCGACGATGAGTAAAGGTTCGGATAAATTCGCACACGCTCCAGCATCGAAATTCGACGTCGTAGCCGAGCAGGCGAGCGTGACAGTCCCTAGCACTGCGAGATCGCTTCCCTTTGCAGCAGACAATCCCATAGCCAAGTCCTCCTCGGCCAGATTTTCAGTTCCAGTCCTCATCAGCTCGGACAAGTCAGAATCTGATCTGAGCATTGTCGAGCAAGCTGCTCTCGCCGACGATTTTCTCATCGAATCCTGGAGGCCAAGCAGCAGCAGCAGCAGCAGCAGGAACACGACGATGCTTCTTGTCTCCGTGGCCCTGTGGAAGGCTGCTGCAGTTAAGTCCATTGCTTCCTTGACGTGGGCTGCAGTCTCTACAGCATCATCATCGGCAGCATCATTGAGGAAGAAGACCGAGCAACTCGGTCCTGTTTCTTCACTCGTTCTCGCGGCAGATTCTTCCGCTTCGACTTCTCAGCTCCCTGATCCTTTAACTTCGAAGTCGTCAATGAGCCCCGGTACACTTCCTCCAGTTCTCGAGCCAGGAGATCAGTCCTATAGCACCCCTGCCTCCCCGAGCCGTCCCTCCAGGAATAGAAGAAACCTTTCTCCGGAAGATCGCCCCGACAATAAGAAGCTTCTCAGGTGTCACACCGTGATCGGGACCGTCCAAGCCACCAACACGAGGCTCCAAGCGACAGCGCTGGAACGAGATGGAAAAGGTTGCAACTTGACCATACTTGTTGCGGTACTTCTTGTTGTCCAGGCAGCTCTTTTGGCAGGACAGCTCCAGGCTATAGTCATCACGAGCTGCTTTTGGTTCCTGCTCCCCCGGATAAGTATTCGTCGGAAATCTGAGACAGCCGCTGGTGTTGTGGAGGATCCTCCGGGTCCTTCTGCCCCCGTTTCCGAGGTCGAAGCTGGTAGTTCCCATGGCCAGACCGTCCCGAGGTCTCGGTCAAGCTCTACCGGCGAGCTCCACGACTATTCGTCTACTGAATACCGGAAGAAGGTGATAATCCAAGGTCTTCTTCAAAGGCCGGGACAGACCAGGCATTGACTTTGCTGTTGACAAGTCCATTCATAGTCCTCGTCCAGAAGCTCTGCTACATGTCGCCACTATGTAAGAGAAGCGCAGTTACAAATCCGGATGTGAAGTACCAGACGAACAAACCTTGATGTCCACAGAGTGGCCACTCATTAGAGGAATAAAAGCACCTACTGTGCCTTTTTCCACCTCCGCTCGATGCCATCCAGATGAGCCATGCCCACAACGCCCACAACTTTCCCCTCGCAAGTCAAAAGTTGCCGTGTCATATATTCGTCCCGCTCGTGAAGCATGACTCTAACCTGTAAAAAGCCAGAGATTACCGTGAAGTATGAAACTCGAGACGAACTTACAGCACTTGGAAAGGTCTTGTCCATGAAGCTCGTCAGTTTTCGAACTGCATCTCTTCACTTTAGCTTTTCAATGCTCTCGATCAGGTTTCCGCTGCTCAGTCCTTCCACAATCTGCTCCATGTCCGCCCCGGCAATCCCAAGCAAGTTTATGACGTCCCGTATCCTGATCGCCTTTGTAAGCTTTGAAATAGTCACCTGCAGAAACAAAGCGAAAGGTCCTTGTCAGCCGCTTGACAAAATCACAGGAAACAAAAATATATAAGAAGAATCAATATCTTACAGTATGCGCATGATCTTAAAGGTCTTACATCATATCTTTGATCTATGAGCAAAATGCCAGCGCGTCTCGCCTTAGCCTCCTCCATGGCTACCTGATGTTAAGATCAAATGCTACAAACTTGTAGCCACCAAGAAAAAAAAAATGGAGGAGAATCACCTTAAACTCCTTGCCAGGTTCTAGACCGGCCTCGCGCATCGCCTGATAAGATGCGCTCAATGCCAAATGGACTACTTTCTGCTTCAATCCTCCCGGAAACTTCATGAATTCCTGGACTTTCTGGAACAAGCTAGTATCATGGTACCCAGCTAGTAGCTTCTTGGCTCTTTCTTCACACAGTTCCACCTAGAAAACAAAAAAAAAAAAGAACTAGAGCTCTAGCATCGAAAGATTATTTACCGCGACAATGTCAGGCTTGACGATTCCAATCACCTACGAAGAAAAAGTAAGAATCCTCTCGAGGAAGGACAAAGCCCTACCTCTTCCACTTCCTCGGCGCTCTTGGCTGAAACGTGTGCGGTGCCCACCAGGAAAATCTCCGCTCCATTGCTGCTATTCTTGAGATGCGCGATCCTTCCCATCGCGATAAATTGCTTGATCACGTCGGCGCGCCTGGCCCATCCCGCCATCGCCGAGAACACTAGGGGAAAGTAATCTGTGCCAGAAGCTTCATCGCCGAGAACACTAGTAGGGCAAAGTAATTTATGCCACAAGGGCAAAGTAATCTGAGACGTGGCACCTACATTCCTTGAAAAGCATCCCGAAAAGATTCCATAAGGCTAGGGCAGACGTGGCACCTAATTACTTGGAAAGCATCTCGGAAAGATTCCAATTGGGTAGGGCAGAAGGAAGCAGGGATGTGGAGGGCTATGGCCGCTGGTGGCGCGCTGCGAAGAGCGCTAGGCAGCTCGCGGCTGCGCGGCGGTGGCGCCGCTCACGCCGAGAAGAGCGAATGGGAATCGATCAAGGAATGGTGGGGGCCGGGGGATCGCGAGCCGTGTGGGCGGCTCTTCAACGAGACGCCGCCGCCGCCGGGGCAGCGGCGCAAATGGGAGGATTGGGAGTTTCCCTATTACACCGCCTGGACGATCGCGATTATCATGCTCACGGTTGGGCTTAGCTCCAAGCCCGACACTCGGATCGATCACTGGGCGCGCAGGCAGGCGATTATCCGGATGCGCAAGGAGGGATTTGTGGAGCCCGAGTTTCTGGACAAGCTGGAGAACGATCTCAAGCGCCACTAGCAGCTCCCGGGTGGTACGTTTGCTCGAATAAAGAGAGAGGCCGCTTGGGAGAGGAAAAAACCAGTTTTTCTTCCTGGAAAATATAATGCAGACAAAGACATCGCTTGAGATTTCTCTTACGGGATTTTTTCGTAGCCATCGCAAATCGTTCGTCGAGTTTTCAATCGTTGTTTATCGCCTGCGAACCGCGGCTGGAGCTCGGGCTTGCTGGCCTCCTCCGGCTGGAGCTCCGGGTTCTTCTTGCATGTTTGCTACTTGGGTGATTGCATTCATCACGATCAGTCCGAGCGGAATGATGTACATCCACTGTCACAAGCAAAAGAGTGTGAGCTGAATCTCGACAAGAGTGTGGCCTCTCACAATCAAAGGTGGAGACTCACGTATTTCGCCCAGAATGATTTCTCAGGTGGTGGTTTCTTTATTGCTGCCATGGCTTCGTCGCCAAGAGTGTCGTCCGCGGTGCTGCCAAGGCCAAAATCGTTGAAAAGAACAGTTTTGGCTTGCTCCCCACCCTTGGAGACGATGTGAGTGTCAAAGGTCCATGACGCAGGCTGGAAAATGACCAAAAGACAAACTCATTTAAACTTCTCCACTCTCGATAAAGTTTTAGACAATGACTTACGTGTTTGAGCTCCCTGGGGTAAGGACAATCGGCACCGGCGCTGTAGCCTACGGCAATTATGTTTCCTTGATCCTGGAGAGAGATAACTTCCATCAGTTTCAAGCACAAGCGAAGAAAAAGAAAAAGTTTTGTTCACCATGTGAATGTCGAGACGCTCCTTCAAGTTTGCAATGGCCAGGCACCTCTGCCATAAACTTGTACTCGTAAGAATAAAAAAGAAAGTTTTATAAGATCAAAACTTACAGCTTTGATCGAAGAGATGACAAACGGTGCCCCGGGACTGAGAGGATTAGCGGGAACACGGATGGTGTAAAAACCATCCTCCTTCAAGAGTTCCTACAAGCAAAAGAAAGAAACTTCTTTCTCATGCCAAGAACCGGAAACAAAACCATTACCTCGAATGCTTGTTTTTCAGCTCCCGACAAAGGAAGCCTGGAGAGACGAAGCTTGCCAAGAGCCTGGAATCATAAAAAAAAGAATCAGCAAGCAAAAACAATTTAAACATTTTCTCACTTGACCACCACGTAAAGAAGGCCGCAGACGAGCTGTGAAAACCCCAGCACGAGTAAACTCCGATCCTCCAAATGCGTGCTCTAGCGGAAATTGTAACTTGTTGGATTCCGGCGACGAAGAAGCCTCAGGCGCCGCTTGCTTCTTCCTGGCTAGGTCAGATTGAGGACCAGGAGGAGGCGACGACGCCGGCGACGATCCCATAAATCCCCATTCTTCATCGTCTAGCTCATCCCACTGGAATCCCGAGCTAGCCGTTGCGATCGCGAGCAGCGTCGCGAAGAACGCGATCGCCGGCACCAATCTCCGCATCAGAAATATTTGCCCTAGAACCTCTCCGTACAATTTCGTACAACATCAAGTATCTTTAGTACGGAATAAAGTATAGCCACCACGTCACCGCCTTTTCCGGAGGATATCCTTTTACTGGGTATTCCAATATACCTTCACGTCGAAGAAATCTACTTTACCTAATTGGTGTTTGTGTGTTCATCCGGAGAAGGCGCTGTTGCCGTAGAGGAGAAATCGATCCGCGCCCAGGGAATCGCTGTCTCATGCCTTCTTTGCTGCCAATTCTCTCCTACGACGTTCCGATTCAAGGTAAGGCTCGAGAAATTCTTCGTGATTCTGTGCTTAGGGTTTGATTCCAGGGGAAATCCCTCCTCTAGCGTCCAATGAGAGCTCCTCCATCGTCTTCCGCGGCGAGCAGCACTGCAGCAGCAGTAGCAGCGTGTTGAAGAAGCACACCACAGTCTGCCGGGAGCTCCCGGAGAAGAAGAAGAAGCATGTCAAGGCCGCCCAGGGCGGTGTGAAGAGCCACGGCGAGGGATCGGGCGGCCATAGCCATCCTCTCGCAGAATCGGTGGTGTCGGACAGTGGCGATGCCGGCGAGGGCGTCGCCAAGGCCCAGGCGGTGGCCGAGGCCGTCAAGGTTATGAAGAAGGCGGTGTTTGCGATCCAAATGGCCCTCTACAATGGCCTGAGGAGCGATTTCCAGCTCAAAGCCGCGACTTGCCTTCTCACACAGAGCGAGTACGCGGACGTGGTTACCGAGCGAAGCAACGACAAGCAATGTGGATTCCCGCTGTGTCCAAACTCGCTCAAGGTGGAGAAGGCGAGAAAGGGGCGGTACCACATATCACTTCGCGAGCACAAAGTCTACGACCTGGAAGAGACCCGAGCGTTTTGCTCCACCGGGTGTGCCGTGAGCAGCAAGACTTATGCGGCGAGTCTTCCGTCCAACCATGAAGGGATCATGGAGCACCAGAAGCTGGAGGAGATCATAGCTTGCGTTCGTGGTCTCAGCTTAGCCACCACCGCCACCACCGCCACCACTACGGTGCCCGCCGCCGCTAGTGCGGGTAAGATGAGTGCCTCGGCCCAAGACAGCGACGGAGTGGTGGTCCGGGAACGCACCGACTGTGAGCCCGGTGACCTCGAGTTCCAGCTCTCTCGTTCCGCCTCCATCGAAGGATATGTTCCACGGGCTAAGCCGCAAGTTCAGATAAACGACTCATCCAAGCCTTTGAAGTCCGCTATGAAGCAGTCGCCACGAAAGAATCAGCGCATCACTTGGGCCGATGAGATCCCGGCAGCGGTGGCTCAGCCAGATGTGGACGATAGCTTTACGTTCTCGACAACCGTCACGGTGACGAGCGAGGGAGAACGACTTGGAGCTGCACAGGTTGTAGCTGACGCCTTGGCTCAAGCCGCCAATGTTTCATCGCTGGGGGAAGTCGAGCCTTGCAAGGCTGGTACGTCCAGATTATAGACTGATTACTCAGTGGCTTGTTCTACCATTACAGCTGCAACTGCGGGGCTAGAGATCGTCTCCCCCTATGAGAAAGTCCCCGAGACGTTTGAGTTTGATGCAACCAAGGAGGCCAAAGAAGAAGAAGACGAAGAAGAAAGGGAGGATTTGATCAGTCGGTCTTCTTGGTATAGTGCACCTCCAAAACCGTACAAAGCGGAGGTTTGTGTAGATGCTCGCGTCCTCTTTTCTTTTCCCTCATCCAATCTCTAACTGGTCGCTTTTCAGGTGTCGCCCTTTGGGCTGCTCTGGATGGCTCTAGATGAATGGGTGTCGAGCGGCACGCTGGCTCACATCTATGGAAGAGATGACGAAGAGTTTCGTGACGTGAACGGTAGAGTACCCGTGGATGGTGATGGTTCTTCATCACCGGACATACTGAGAACTATATCGAGCTGTGTGAGCAGGGTGCTTCCTGACGTTGTCCAGGCTCTGGCGATCGCTGAACCTCTCTCTGTCATCGAACGGGCTGTAGTACGTGCTTGAAGTTTTTCGTATGTTGTCATGGAGTTTTTCCAGTCCATTTTTCTTTCGCTTGATCCTTATGGAGCTCACTAACGCTTGTTTGCTGTAAACACACCATTCCAGGGACGCTTGCTGGGGACGATGCATTTCTCCCAGGCGCTTCCAGCGTTCACGACCAAGCACTGGCGGATGATCGCGGCGCTCTTCCTGGACGCGCTCTCTGTGCATAGACTGCCCGGCTTGGGTGGTCAGATGACCAACAATCGAGCTCTTCTACGAAAGGTACTTAATGATCTTTGTCAAGTTCTTCGAAGAGTTCTTCAAATCTTCTCTATTGTTCTTGGCAGCTTATCATCGATTCTGGAATGAATGATCCAGAGTATGAAAGTTTTAAGGAGCTTTTACTTCCTTTGGGCCGATTGCCAGCCTTTGCGAGCGGCGGGGGAGGCTAAAGTTAGAATAATCTGCTACTTGCTTAAAAGATTCCCGGACCATGTACTTAAAAAGTGTGTATATATAAATCTCTTTTACTTGGGACAAAAATTTTCCCTCGCTTTAGCTTTAGGGCTTTAGAGTCACGCTAGGGTTCTTGAGGAGGAGCTCTCTCTCCCTTGCGGTGGCGCTCCAGCGGGGGAATCTCGATGCCGTCGCTCGTCGCAAATGGGAAAATCCACCGGATCGAGGTTGAGAATTTCAAGTCTTACAAGGGACACCAGGTGATCGGCCCGTTCAAGAATTTCACTGCGATTATCGGTCCCAATGGCGCTGGGAAGTCGAATCTCATGGACGCTATCAGCTTCGTGCTGGGCGTCCGATCAATGCAGCTGCGAGGAGCGCAGCTCAAGGATTTGATCTACGCCTTTGATGACAAGGACCGAGAGCAGAGGGGCCGGAAAGCTTTTGTGAAGCTTATTTACTTGCAAGGAAATGGAGAAGAGCTCGAGTTCACAAGGGCGATCACTGCTGCTGGGAGTAGCGAGTACCGCATTGACAACAGTGTGGTGACTTGGGAAGAGTATAACAACAAGATGAAGACGCTGGGGATCCTTGTCAAAGCTCGAAATTTCTTGGTCTTTCAGGTGAGCCCACCGCTCTAAGAATCGTTCTTTTCTTAACTGGGTCTTGTTCTGACAGGGTGATGTGGAATCCATCGCTTCTAAAAATCCCAAGGAACTTACGTCTCTCTTCGAGCAAATCTCTGGCTCGGAGGAGCTCAAGAAAGACTACGAAGAATTGGAAGAGCAGAAGACTCGGGCCGAGGAGAAATCGGTGTTCACTTACCAGAAGAAACGGACAGTAGGAGCGGAAAGAAAGCAAAAGAAGGAACAAAAAGAAGAAGCTGAGAAGCATCTTCGCTTGCAGTCCGAATTGGTACGTTTTAACTCTTTCGCTAAACTTTTTCTTGCTTATGCTGTTTCATGCAGAAAACGTTGAAGACGGAATACTACCTCTGGCAGATGTTTAATATAGAGAAAGATGTCGAACGGACCCAGGAGGAACTTGATGCTGAGAAGGAGAAGCTAGAGGAAGTACTGAAGGATCAAGAAGACGCAGAAAGCGGAGTGAGGGAGAAAAAGAAGGCCCAGGCCACGCTCACCAAGGAAGCGTTGCTCTTGGAGAAGAAAATGACGAAGAAAAAGACGGAACTAGACAAAAAGGCTAGTTGGAAAAACAAATTTGTAATGCTTCCAGTGCTGACCAAATTTGTCAATTTTTCAGCATCCAGAGCGCCTGAAACTGAAGGAAGAAATGAATAGGATCGCTCAGAAAATCAAGTCGACAGAGAAGGACTTGGAGCGGAAGAAGGACGAGCAGAAGAAGCAGGGTAGAGAGATTGCCAAGCTGAATAAAGACCTTGAGGATGTTACTGCAACCTTGAACGACTTGAACGAGCAGGGTGCTGAAGGCTCTGGAAAACTGCAACTTGCTGAGAACCAGATCGAGGAGTATCACCGAATGTAAGTTTCTGGCCGTTTTGTTTATTTGTATACTGCATAATTCTTCGTTTTTTCTTGTCCAGAAAGGAGGAAGCTGGTACAAAAACAGTGAAGCTGAAGCTTGACAAGGAGGTTCATGATAGGGAACAACAAGCAGATTTAGAGGCTCAAAAGAACTGGGAAGAAAATCTTCAGCAACTTTCAAGTCGTGACCAGCAACTTGCCTCTGAAGGACAAGTCTTGGACGGTCGCATGAAACGGCTAATAGATTCCATTGAGAAGAACAAACAGGAGCATGCGCAGGTTGTGAAGGAACTTAGCCAGATGCAGGAAAAAAATCGAAAAGCCAGGTAACTGCCTTGTTTGCTTACTGTGTCTAAAGCCTGGCTGCATGCAGGACAAAGTATGACAACCTCAAGGTTAAAATTGACGAAGTTGAGGCGCAGCTACGGGAGTTGAAAGCCGATAAGCGCGAAAGCGAGCGTGATGCCAAACTTTCCGAGGCTGTCAGCAGTTTAAAGCGCCTCTTTGCTGGTGTGCGCGGTCGAATGACCGACCTTTGCAGGCCTACGCAGAAGAAGTACAATCTTGCTGTGACCGTGGCGATGGGAAAATTTATGGACGCAGTTGTTGTGGAAGATGAGAGCACGGGAAAGGAATGCATCAAGGTATGATATTTGTATACTGTTCCATTTCTGACAAGCACCTTCGACAGTATTTGAAGGAGCAACGGTTGCCACCGCAGACTTTCATTCCCCTGCAATCTATTCGGGTAAAGCCAGTTCATGAAAAGCTTCGCGCTCTTGGGGGGACAGCGAAATTGATCTACGATGTCATCCAATATCCTTTATCGTGTTTTGTTTTTGCATTTTTTTTATACTCGTGGTTTCCTTAATAAGCACACATTTGACTCGTCACTTGAGAAGGCTGTTCTGTATGCGGTCGCGAACACCCTTGTCTGTGACAAACTAGATGAAGCTAAGGCTCTTTCTTGGGGTCAAGAACGCTACAAAGGTAAATAGCATCTTGCTCACACTTAACCTTTCTAATTTCACTCTGCTGTCTAGTGGTAACGCTGGATGGTATTTTGCTTTCAAAGGCGGGAACAATGACCGGCGGCATTACGGGTGGCATGGAGGCAAGGTCTCAGAAATGGGATGACCGCGCGATTGAGGGTATACAAAGTCCTACTTTGCATCTTAAACCTGTGCTGTTTATCAGGACTGAAGGAGAAGAAAGAACGCTATGAGGCCGAGATGGCTCAGCATGGTTCAGTAAGGGAAATGCAAAGCAAGGAAGCTGAAGCAACCGCTAAGATCACTGGTTTTGAAAAAAAAATTCAGTTTGCGGATATAGAGAAGGTGGGAAATTCGTCTCTATGTTTGTCTATTAACCGAGGTTTGTCTTGCCCTTCTAGAAAAACTTGGAAGACAAAATCAAAAAGATTGCCCAGGAACGTGAAACGATCAGTAAAGAGGTTGATCGGATAAAGCCAGAACTTGAGAAGGTACAGCTGACAACTTGCCTACAATTGAAGCTTACGTCTTTTTCCTGATGCTAGTTGCGAAATGGGATCTCAAAGAGGGCAAAGACAATCGACAATTTGGAGAAACGAGTAAATGACATAACCGATAAAATATACAAAAGTTTTAGCGAATCCGTCGGTGTTGCAAACATCCGAGAGTACGAGGAAAATCAGCTGCGGCATGCTCAAGAGCTAGCGGAAAGAAGGCTAAGCTTGAGTAATCAAATATCAAAGCTGAAAAATCAGTAAGTACCGCTTAGATTCATGTGAGATTTTCTGAAGTTTCTTTTGGTGCAGGCTCGAGTATGAACGAAGACGTGACACTGAAAGACCTGTGAAGAAGTCAACTAACATGCTGTCCTCTTTACGTGACGAGCTTGTGAGAGTGCAAAAAGCAGAATCGGATTTGAAAGCAGCAATGGATCGCGAGGCTGAGCAGCTCGAAGCAATGAAAGCTGATCTCCAAGGTAAAGATGTGAAGCAAGGCTTCATCTGACATTTCTTTTTATTTTATCAGAATTGAAGGCCAAGGTGGACGACATTGAAAGCGAGATACAAGAAATGAAGAAGGGTAGCAGCGGTGCCACCGGAAACCTTGGCAAAATAAAGCGTCAGATCGCGGCTAAGGTAAGCTAGTACTACTTCAAGTTTGAAGCAATGTTTATTGGTTCTCTTGTCAGGAAAATCATATTGAACAGCTAATGTCACGGAAGCAAGAAGTTTTGGATAACTGTGAACTGGATCAAATTAGGCTTCCGGTAACGGATGGCATGGATATTGACGGTGCGGGATCTTCCCAACAGGCTGCTGCATCTTACGATTATTCGCAGCTATCCAGATCGCACCAGAAGGTTCGCTTCCTTTTCTTTTTATGCCAGTGATACCTGTTGCTCCGTGCATTAGGATCTGAGACCTGCTGAAAAGGAGAAGCTAGAGACGGAATTCAAGAGCAAGCTGGAGTCCATCACAGCAGAGATGGAAAGAACAGCACCAAATTTGAAAGCTCTCGATCAGTACGAGAGCTTGAAGGAAAAGGAGAAAGAGGCCGCTGAAGTGTATGAACAAGCCAGGAAGGAGGCCAAGACCGTAGTCGACAAGTATAACGCTGTAAAGCAGAAGAGGTACGTGTGATTGATAGCAACGAATTTGTGTCTAACCGGATGGAATGCAGGTATGAAAGGTTCATGGATGCTTTCAACCATATCTCGACGAACATTAACACGATTTACAAGCAACTGACTCAAAGTAGCACACACCCGCTTGGCGGAACGGCGTACCTGAGCCTTGAGAACGAAGATGAACCGTTTCTACACGGGATAAAGTACACAGCAATGCCCCCAACAAAGAGGTTTCGGGACATGGAACAACTATCAGGGGGTGAGAAGACCGTGGCCGCTCTTGCTTTGCTGTTTGCAATCCACAGGTACGTGGTGGTTTGTGGTTTAGTTTTCATATTTTTCTAAGATGGTGATCCGGATGTTTGCTCGCAGCTTCAGGCCATCACCGTTTTTTGTGCTGGATGAAGTGGATGCTGCGCTCGATAATCTGAACGTGGCGAAAGTGGCTGCTTACATCCGAGCAAAGTCCCGCGACGATGCTGGCGGGGGCGACGCGTCGGGGAAGGGGATTGGGTTCCAGAGCGTTGTCATTTCGCTCAAGGACACTTTCTATGACAAAGCCGACGCGCTGGTGGGAGTGTACAGGGACTCCGACATGAGGTACCTCTGCTGGTGTTCTTGTGGTCTTTTGGATTTGACAAGGGATGTTTTTGCAGCTCCAAGACACTGACTTTCGACCTCACTCGATACAGCGAGTAGAAATCTGGCTGTACAGTTGTTTTGTAAGTTTTCCATTAAGCAGCAACGATCTAACGGCTTTCTCATTGGCCCAGTTAAAGAAAGGAACGCAAAGATTTCCCCACTAGAGAGGAAATCCCCTCCCATATGATATGATCTTGCATGGCCCCAGTGATAAGCTCGTCAATATACCATTGGCGTGGTCGCGATCGTTGATGGGAACCTCATCATCACCTAATAGAATAAGAGTAGGCTTGGAATAATCTGTGAAAGGCAAAGACACGATTAAGAACATCTTAACAGCTATTTCGCTCGGGACAATGTTTGAAACCACGTCTTCCAAGCACGACGCTTGCGCCGGCCAATTTCGACGTCTTTTGAGACTCAGAAATCTGTCTGTAAGAAAAGTATCGAGATGCTAATTTCAAGACAACGAGCGGAAGACGACGCTGAAGGAGCAGGAAGTTGGAATTCATGGTTATTCTCTTCTGCGCTGGCACTGTCATTGCTCACATCTACTGCACAAACTGTGATGGATATGAGAAAGGTTCCACACTTTGCAATCCATATCCACAGTACACCTGTTGAAACAACTTTTCTTTAGAGCATGGAATAGAAGAGGCTTTGGGTCGTTCATACAAACGACTGAAACCCTAAACCAAGAAAAGCATTTGCTAGGACTTGAACAAGCCTCAACATGAACAATTTGCTAATTGTAGCGTATGACCAAAACCCACTCGCTTAAGCTCTTGCCACATCTCCTTCTAGCAGAAATTTCAAGGAAATGATACCAGCTAGAGCTTTATCTCAAGTCTCCAATACGAACAAAGCAAGAATAATTCTATGATATAGATAAGAACAATAAGCCTTGCTATCATGACTAGTGAATCAAAACGGACTTAATTGTCTTTAGATCCAGCTGCAAATAGAGGAGCTGCAAACATCACACAATCTTCCTTGTCAAATCCAATAGATGTACAGGTTGCTTATAGAAATTTGGATAAAATATTCTAAACCTCACTAGATATAGCGAGTAGAAATCAGTAAATTTGCATAAAAGTAGTGATGATCTCTTGGAACAACACCTTCTCAGCGTATGCCAAAACAGACACCTTTGAGAACTTTCTACAACTTCTTTAACTGGAGTGATCACCACCGGTGACTGACAGAAGACAAATGCAAGAAGGAATCAGGCCCAAAAAAAGAGAATGCCAAAGGATATAGCCTTTGGAGGTGCATGAAGTTGATGCTTTCCAGACTGTGACCGTGCCTCTAAATCTGTAACCAGGGCATCTAAATCTGTTGATGCTTGAGCTTGGAATTCATGGCCACACCCTTCTTGTTATCTAATGCTCTATTTTTATTTTTTTTTCCTGAGTTTTAAAGTTTGAGTCTTGAGACTCAAGATGATGCTTCTAAATGCAAGGTTGATTTCTTGTGCTCCACTTTTCTCCCACGACTAAATTTGGTTTTGTTTCAAACTCTTATTGCTCCATAGCATTAGACTGTTTTGTTGCTGTTGTGACTCCAATGAGTTTGTTCTTGAACTTGTCGAGCTTCTATTGGAACTTATCATCATTGTCGTCATGATCACTCTTGTTGTCATCATCCATGATAATCAATGGCTGTTTTGCCTTGAGCTGTCAGATCTCATTGCAAAGCTGTGCATTGAGTCTTTGCACATACAAATCCCTAGAAAGCCGTACCTCAAATGCTCCTCTTGAGATGAAGAATGTCATTATGGATCTTTGTGAGCTTTGTGTTAAGGGGCTGGTAGACAACAGCATTGATCACAGCCTGGACTTTGTCTTGTATGAAAACTCTCATTTGCTTGTTGTGAAAAATCCTCACAAAATTTACTGGTATTGGCATATGTGGCAATGGTTGGAGATGCTACATTTCGTCCACAAACTAGAGAAATGCTAATCTTAAGATCCAATGTGGAAGCTTGGGCTTGCAGCATCACTCTTGTTTGGGACGTTCTTGGTTGTGGACTTGCACATTTCTAGTGTGGAGATCAAAAACTTAAATTGTGGCTTGGTTTTGTTGATTATATTGCTCATTTGTAGAGAATTTCTATTATAGTTCTCAAGTACCTTAATACACTTCGGTGGAATCCCTTTTATGTCTCACTTGCTCTCTACTAGTGGGAAGTTTGAATGTTTATGCAAAGTACTTGACACTCATAACAAACTCATAGTTGGTACTGTGGACAAAATCTTTTTATGCTGGGAAAAGTTTTCTGACAATATTGATGTTATATAGCTTCTTCAAGATCTTTAAGAACTTATGAAGTCCAACTTTGTGTAACCATGTATTGAACTTTTCAATCCTTTTCTAAGTAGGATTGCAAGGTGAGAAGAGACTCACCCTAATTGTGTTGGGATCAAAGATAAACTCGTTAGTGATGCCATGGGTTTTTGTACCCCACTTTCCCATTTCATTTCCTTTAGAGGTGCTAAGATTGTTCTAAATTTAATTAAGTGTTGCATAATCTGGATTCAAATTTCTAGCTTGAATTTTCTTTTTTTTGTTGTTGTTTTCTTATTTTCTTGTTCCCATTTGTTGATGAATCTTAGTGAATTGTGATGATTGTCTATTTTAGTGGTATCTTTTCTTAATTTTTTGAACTTAGAGTTTAAAATTTTTTTATGGGTTGAGTTTTCGAGTTTGATTTTCAAGAATCTCCTTGAAGTTGTTTTCTTGTGTTTGATCTTTGGAGTTCTTCTTTGAATTGATTTCTTGAATTTGAGTCTTGAACTTAATTTCTTGAATTGGAAGAATGGAGATTTTTTTAAGTTGATTTATCTTTTTGTTGAAGACTTGAGTTTTGTGTTGTAAGTTCTTGAATTGTTAAGTGTTATACTCATGATTTTCGTTAGTGTTGGATTTTTAAATTTTAAAGTTGTAATCTTTACTTTTTCCTAAGTCGTCCTTGATAAAATTGGTATCAATTAATTAGTATTTATCAAGTTTGTTAAGGTTGACAATTTAAAAATATTCATTGTGAAGTGTTGTAATTGTTATCATTCCTGGAATTTTAAATTGTTAGATAAGGTAGGGTCCTTTCTATCTTGCCTATAGGAAGGAAGAGCTGGAGGATCCTCATCTGGAATAAACCTCTTCCAATACCAATGCCTCCTCCAAACGCTAGTCATCTTCTCAATGGGAACACTCTTGGTCTCAGGAAGAAAGAAGTAGATGAAGAGGGACATGGCCAACACCCAAGCTGCGAAGAACAAGAAGATCCCATATGTCATGTGGCATAGCATTGCGGGGAAAGCTTGCGCACTGACGAAGGTGAAGAGGAAGTTGACAGCCACATTGATTCCCTGGGCGACAGACCGTGTCTCCAGCGTGAAGATCTCGCTGGGAATGAGCCATCCCAGCGGCCCATATGACCATGCAAAGGATGAAACGTAGATGCAAATGACGATCAGGACGATCACGGCAGAAGATTTGGTCAATGGTGTAATGATCGCAAGGATCAACCCAATCGCCACCTATGATCGTGCAAAGAGTTTTAGTTGATGGATCAAGACTGAGAAGCAATCAATCCATTTCTCACCTGAGTGACGAACATTTGGACTCCAGCTTCCAGGAAGAGCGCGCGGCGGCCCCACTTATCAACAAAGGTGATGGCGACGAGCGTGGCCATGACGTTCACAGCGCCAGTGATCACGGCTGTGTAGAGCGACGCATCGGTGCCAAATCCAAGCTTCTGGAAGAGCACCGGGACGTAGAATATGGTCGCATTGATCCCCGTGAACTGCTGGAAGAATGGGATCATGGTCGCCATGACGAGCTGGGGGCGATTCTTTCTCTGGAAGATGGCCTTGAAAGGGTTTGCCACTGCGAGCTCGCTTGCCTCTTTGATATCTTCGTACTCGGCATCCACCTCCTCGGTCCCGCGGACCTTCGTGAGGAGGCGGCGAGCCTCCTCGTAACGCCCACGCTCGATCAAACTATTTGGAGTCTCGGGCAAGAAAAATCCGCCCATGGTCATGAGGATGGCTGGTACTCCGGCGAGACCAAAGGAGAGGCGCCAGCCCCAATCCGGGATTTGGAGGGAGCCATAGTTGATGAGATTCGCCCAGAGGATCCCGATAGTGATGGCGAGCTGAAACATGATGTTGAGCGCTCCCCGGATCTTTGCCGGCGCCATCTCTGATAGATAGAGGGGCACTGCCTGGACAGAGCATTCGAGGAATCAAATCTTTTTTCTTGCGAACCGATCATCCAATCACCTGATTGCCAAAGCCATGGCCGATGCCATGCATGATTCGTCCCAAGATGATCATGGCTAGATTTTGAGCGGCACCACTGAGCACGGCACCGACGAGGGAACAGAGGCCTCCACAGAGGATCGATAGCCGCCGCCCGTAAATCTTCGTGACGTGAGAGGCCAGCAAGCTGGCCGCGATGCCCGCGAGATAGAACGAGGACGTCAAGGTGGTGGGTCGCTGAGCTCCATTCGAGCAGTCGTCTCTGGGGAAGCTGAATTTCTCCAAGAATGTGGCCCGCATGGATGGCATAGCACCTGTGATAAGACGAAGGAAATTCGCGATAGATCGATGAGAATCTGGCCTTGCCTGAGATTCCAATTTCATAGCCATAGATCAAGCCTCCACACGCTGCCACAATGCAAGCGAGGATCACGTAAGACGTTGTCCGTCCCTTGTAGAGCTCGGCTCTCAAGCCGCCACCATTCGCCACTCCACGAGTTCTCCTTCCAGCCATAGATTCTTCTTCGGAATCTTGGAAGCTTTGCTATATGCCCAGCTCGGTTGGTGGCTTGATCGTGGCACTAGTCTTCGCATAGAATTGAACGCTTCTTTGTCTCACCATGACCGTGGCGGCGAATTCTTGAGTTGGTCTTAGCCTTAAAGTTGACAGTGATATATTTTTACATTTTTTCGTCTACATCCTGCTTAGTTTTCTCTCTCAACGATCTTTAGTTTGTCATCTCTACGCCCATCTTGCTTTCATCATCCTGCTTGTATGGGATAACCGGAGGATCTTGGTCCGGGACAATCCTCCTCCAAAACCAGTGCTTTCTCCACACATCCATCATCTCCTCGCTTGGAACGTTCTTGGTCTCGGGTATGAACCAGTAGACGAAGACTAACATGATCGCCACCCAAGCCGCGAAGAACAAGAAGATCCCGAACTTCATGTGGCACATCATGCTGAGGAACGCCTGCGCGATGACGAAGGTGAAGAAGAGATTAACTGCCACCGTGATCGCTTGCCCGGCCGATCGCATCTCCAGTGGGAAAATCTCGCTGGGAGCGAGCCAGCCCAAGGGTCCCCAAGACCAGGCAAAGGCAGAGACGTAGCAGCATATCACGATCACAACGATCACAGCGTAAACTTTGTCCAGCTCTTTGGTTCCTCCAAACTTGACGCCCAAGATCACCGCCACCACCACCTATGGATTTCGAATGGAAAAGTGTGAACTTCGATCGATCTAGAGAAGCATGCTGCTTACCTGGGAGACGAGCATTTGGACTCCAGCTTGCAAGAAGAAGAAGCGGCGGCCCAACCGATCGAAAGAGAGAGTGTAGTGTTTAGAAGCTATAACTGGCTTAGAAAACTTGGAGACTGGTTTTCTTCTACATTTTTCATAACTAACGAGTTCTTCCTCTTTAACACAGATTAAATTCGAGGAAGGACACCGCAGCTCACTTATTCCATTGAACTCTCCGACACCGTCGACTTCATGGGACGTAAAATCGAGCTCAAAACGCTCTTCGTCCCCTGCAAGACGCTGCGAACTCGGTGGCGCGGACACTCTCAGGTCAGCCACCTCTTAAGTTTTCGATACCAGGCAACAAAGCCCACTCGTGGCTGCTCACCACTTAATTGGACGAGGACCTGCGAATCTCCCGTGGCGATGAAGGGGGCGTCTTGTTGCTCGTCAAGGAAGGCAGCCCTTGATACCAACTGTTACAATCAATATAAGGTTTTGGTTTCACAGAGAACAGAAGAGTTGCTGTTCCTTCCAAGAGGCACTAGAGGGTTTTTCCTCTCGGCAGTGAAAGCCCCTCATTGTTAAAAGACTATGAAAATGAAACGATTCTTGCAACTGCTTGGAAAAGAGCTGACAAATTGATTCCTGGAGCGGGATTGCTACACTCGTTTTTCGTTCTTGATCAGGATCCCAATAGGCAACCTGGGAAAGGAGAAGAGAGAACTTACACTAATGAAAAAAATGGAAGCTAGGAATTTACAGAGTTGATGTCTTGCAATCCTTGCAAGACATTCCCTGCCGTGGCTGGTAGCTCGCACCAGCACCAGCGACAAGCAATAGTAGAGGCGGGAGTAGAGGCAAGAGAAGGAGCTTGCCGAGCACGCTGCTGCCACTCTCAGCAGCGCTGTTGGTGTCACATCCGCATCAGCTCGGAGATCTGGATTTTCTGCAAACCACAACAGTTTTAACTGGACCAGTCACCACGTTGATGGCGGAGGTGGCAATCGTGTGCTTTAAGAAATTCCACATCTGACACACAAGGCAAATGCAAGAGGGATTCAGTCCCAAAAAAAAAAACCCCAAAAGCAACAAAGAATGCCGTTATTGCAGAAAAGGGTTACCGATGAGAGATGGGGCTGCCGTATAGAGTAGATATTATGGACGTGCCATGGGAGTTTGTGTGAGGAAATTAATAATCATGCTGAGCGAAACAAAATTTGAATTTTAGGGCTCTTAACGGATGAGTAATGTGACCCAGGTCGTCAAAATGTATCTGTAGACTGTTGAGATTGGAATTCTGCCACCCTTGTTTTTCTCTGCCGCGCTGAAATTGTCAATGCTCTGCATGCTCTTTCACAGTTGGCACTTTGCTCTCAACGTGTCGTTAATTGTAGTGTATGGACACACTTAAGCTCTTTGAAAAGAACACCATCTCCTTCTAGCAGGATTGACAAGGAGAGGCACTTGAGAAATCCATCCTTTAAAAGAGGGAAATAAAGAATAATCCTGATATCTTAATCCTTAGGTATCTTTAACCACTTTAAAATCTTCAAAACTTAGGGTGTGAGGCCATGAGCATGTCGTCCTCCATTCCCTTGCCCAACAGGACGTATGCGCCATTGCAGCTGGAACTATCCAGGGCGAATGTAAGAAAGAGATCTCCTTTGGGATTGACAGGAAAATGGAGTTTTTGGGCAGATCACAGTGAAGAATCGCAGGCTCAGCATTGTGCAGCCCAAAGATGAGGATCAAGTCTTGGATATGTACATTGGACAGGGTATTAAAATCTCTCCTTGTCTTGTACCGTTCCTTGTTTCTACTTGGTTTTATTCTTTTCTTGCAGAGAAGGATCCTTACTGGTGCCGAGTCTGGCCATCGTCTATGGCTCTCGCTGAAGAGGTTTGCGAGCAAGTTTTCTATGGAGTTGGCATTTTCTGTATAGATTTTTTGTCATCCAGAGCTCGTGGCTCATCGCAAAGTTTGTGATCTCGGGGCTGGCCTAGGTGAAAATTTGAGTGCCAGAGTTTTTATTTCTCTCTCTCTCCCTCTCTCATGTTTTTCAAGTTCCAGGCTTGGCTGGTCTTGCCGCGGCATTTGCTGGTGCGAAAGAAGTGAGTTTTATACCCATTTTTTTTCTCTTCTTTCTTGTTTCATACGGTTGCTTTCAGGTCGTGTTGCTGGATCAAGAGCCACTGGCGTTGGTATGCTCTCTCTTGAGCTTCCATGCAAACTTCCCAGGAATCACGACGAATGTGGCGAGCTTTGGAGAGCTCTTGGGTTCTTCCTTGGATGGTTTGTTAGCGAAAGCCAGTCCAGAAGCTCCAGAAGCTCCAAAAACGCCCGTGCTTGTGACTGCGGAGATCTTCGATTGGACAGAGGACAGGGATCTTTCGAGATACGAATTCGACACGGTGAGCTTAGTCTTGCGATGATCTCCTGAAATTCCTCCGTTTGTTTTTTTTTTTCATTTTCTGTCTCGCCAGGTTTTAGCTTGCGACTTACTCTACATGAAATCTTCGCCGGCTCGTCTCGCAAAGATTGCTCCACAGCTGCTAAAGAAGTGAGAAACAGCTTAACTTACATTGTGCATCTTCAGAGAAAAAGAAATCTCTTTTTCTTTGCATTGCAGGGGAGGAAAAGCGAGGTTACTCTTAACGGATCCAGTGGAGAGGACCCCTGGCCACCGAGACGAGTTTCTCAGGCTTCTTCAATCCACACAGGTAAGAAATCAATTATCATCGATGGAGCTCTAGAGTTTTTCTAACCAAAGTTGTGCTTTCGAAGCTCAAGGTGGTGGACCAGTCTAGGAGAGAACCCGAAATGGATGGAAAGGTGCATCAAATAGAGCTTCTATCATGCGAAACACAAGCGTGAGGTAGACAAAAGTTTCTTTCTTTTTCTCTTGAGCAAGAAGAAGAAGAAGGAACTAATCGCTCTTACGTATCTGTTAGAAGTTTACAGCGGAGGAATGTGAGCCAGCAAAAGAATTCCTCCGTTTACCGGAGCCAGATCCCGACGATCCAGATCCCGATCCCTCTCCACGCTCGTAGCTAGTTTTCAGCACACTCGTGATCTTCCCCATCTGTTTGGGATCTTTCACCGCCGCTCTCGCGTGCCTCACGAGCTGCGAGTTGAGAACCCGGTGTTCTTGAGCAGACAATCCACTCGACTTCCCCACAAGCTTGGCAAACTCCACCACCGAGTCTCGAAACTTTCCACCACCGATCATCCTGCTGGAGTTTCCCTCCAGCGCCACCAATCTCTCCACCACTCGCGCCGCCAGGAGCCTCTCGATGCAATCCTTGCCTCCAATCTCCACCAGGTCCTGGACGCAGTAGAGCCCGATCTGGAAGCCAGCGTCCAAGAGGCCGAGAACTCGATCCACCAGGTTTCCTCCTCCTCCGCGGAGGATTTGATCGGTGACGAGCCGGCGCCCCGTGAAGACGAGGTTGTGGAGGGCTGAGTATGCAGCCTCTTGGAGCGCGGAGCTGGCGCTGCAAGCCATGGCCACGACCAAGTTGTCCACCACCTTTGCCTTGATCATGACCTTGATACACCGGCTTCCACCCGCGGAGAGCTTGACGAGCGCGAAGCAAGCCTCGGACTTGATCCGGTTGCTCGCGTGCTTGATCTGGCGAGAGGAAGAACTCGCTGGAGAAGGGCTCGCGGCTTGATCCAGCTTTGCCGCTAGAACTTCGATGAGACTGGTGGAGAGAATAGAGTCGAGAAGCTGTGGATCTCCGGCTTCGGCTCGCTCCATCGCCGGGGCCAGCTCCTGGATCGCTCGCAGCTGCTCGATCTCGGATCCATCCCGGAGCACCGCCACCTTTTGCGCGATCCAGTGCCGCTTTGCAGGAGCGCTGCTCGACGACCGCTGGTTAAACGATGATTTTCGATCCAGCACTGTCAATCTCTCGAGGCTGAGCTTGGCCTGCCATGGAAGCTCCCGCCGGAGGAGGATCCCGGAGCCTCGCAAGAATCCCTGGACGGAGGAGCCGCCGAGCTCGTGGAAAGATTTGAGCGCCACGATTGCTCGCTGCTGGGCGATCTCCGATCCACTGAGCAGCATCTCCTCGAGCTTCTTCCCGGCGCCGGCCAGGAAGATCTCTCTCACCGCCACCTCCTCCCCGGCGCGTGCCAGCGTCATGAGCGAATCGATCACCGGGTTGTGCGTCTCCTCCGCGCGGGGATCCAGCAGCTCCACCACCTCCTTGAGCGGCACCTCTCGCATGATCTCCTCGCAAGCGTCGTGGCGGAACTCGGCGAGCCTGGCGAGAACCATGGCCGCGTCTCGCCTTACATGGAACTCCTCGTGGTTCCTCACGAGCACCGCCAGCTTCTCGGGAGCTCCCGCCTGGACGAGAGCGAAAGTGTGACGCTCGTAGTCGGATCGCGCGAAGCAATTCGCGACGCAGCGCGCCACCGCGGCATGCAAGTCCTCGAATCCCAGCAAGAACAGCCTCGCCAGCTCCGGCCCCAGGATCCGGCTAAATCCGATCGACGCCGCCTCGAGCTCCGCCATCGTGCTGCTCGTGGAGAGCACCTCCACCACGTTCCACAGAACGATCGCGGGGAGCTCCTCGCTGTTGGACCAGAACACCTCCACCAGGGAGTCCTCCGCGAGCTTGACGATCCTCCGGTTGCCAAAGCGGTAGAGCCACGGGACGATCGCGGCACGGGACTCGGCGTGGATGAGCGAGTGCTCCTTGAGCAGCAGCGCGATGGACTCCTCGGTCTTGGTCTCGAGGAAGAGCGCCACCATGTCGTGGACGGTGTAGTGGAGGAAGGTGTCGCTGCCGCTGGAGCTGGATCGCTTGAGAAGGGAGCTGTCGCAGAGCTTGGAAGAGACGATCCGGAAGGTGGTGTCTTGATGGAGAGCTTGCCAGATCGCTTCCAGGCAAGGCTCGGGGATTGGAGTGGCCCAGCAGAGAGCTGCGAGAGAGAGGAAGAGATCTCTGGCGTGAGTGGTCATGGCGTGGAGGCTGTAGTCGAAGGAGCCAAAGACGGTGGCGGCGCTCTCGGCTTCTTTGTCGTTGAGGTAGTGGACTGGGACGGGGGCCTGGGCCGCGTAGGTGCTTAGATCGTCCAGAGCTTTGTCCCACTGCTCGGGCCGGGTCTCTTTGAAGAGAGCTTTGCCGAGGACTGCGAGAGTGAGAGGGTGGTGGCCGCATCTCTGGATTAGCAGCTCGGTTGTGGCCTCCTGTTATGTTTTGTGTTAGAAAAAGAGAGTTTTTGGAAGATAGAAATGCATGATCAGGGCGAAGATCACGCCAAAAGAATGAATCGAAAGGAGATACAATGCGGAAAGAAAAGGATGAAAAGGAAGACACTATGAAGAACACTACCCAAAGATCGACAAAAGGATCAGGCACGCAAGAAGAAGATCAAACGATGCGAAAAAGGCAAGAGATGGAAAGCTTACCGGTAGCTCCTCCTCGGACAATTGGCTGTGCTGCATCAAGATCCCCCGGCTGAGCTCTGACACATCCTCGGTGCCAATCTCCACCTTTTCAGCCTCGGTCGTCGTCTCATACACCGCCTGGTTTCTCGTCGTGGCCAGGAACCGGCATTCGTTGTCATACAGCCGCGTGAACCTCGCGATGATATCCGGCTCCCACACGTCGTCCAGCACCACCAGGATGCTCCTCCCGAGCAACGTCTCTTGTAGAACCTGGCAAGCCTCCTCCAAATCCAATCCATCTATCTCTCCTCTCTTCCTCCCGAGAACTCGAAGCAAATGACACAGCTTTGCCGCTAGCCGCGAGTGATATTGGGGAGTTCCGCTCCGGCGGCTACACCCCTGCCCGAGCAGCAAATCCACCGCTCCATGCACGAATCGCTTGGGCGGATCCGCGGCGACGTAGCGAGCCAGGCACGACTTTCCCATCCCGGACAGTCCATGGATAAGCACCACCTTTCGCGAGGAGCTCGTCTCGTCCTCGAGGAGAGCTCGGATCTTCCGGGCCTTGGACGCCACCGGGTGGTAGCCCGGCTGGGCCTGGACCCGGAGGTAGCTCGTGAGCTTCTCGGCCGTCTTGTCGAAAGCTTTGGCAATGGTGGCCTTGATGCTGTTCTTGTTGATCCACTCGAGGAGCTGGGAGTTCATGGACTTGACGATCTCCGAGAGCTCGTCGCCAGTGACCGCAGTGACCACCACGTTGAGATACATCTTCATCTTGAGCGGTCCCTTGCGGCGACGGAAGAGCACCAATTTCTTGGCGCGGCCGAGCTGGAAGTCCTCGTCGCGGATGAGAGCTTCGAAGCTATGGAGCTGAGCGAGGAGCTCCGGATGGTGGAGCTTGGAGCTGTGGTTGTGGAGGAGCGTGGCGTGGAGCTTGGTCAGATCGCCCAGCGTCTCCTCTAACTGGGCGATCTTCTGAGGAGCCTCGGAGAGATCCCTGGACGCCCGCGAGAGAGCCTCCACGCCCTGGAGCAGCGCCTGGGCGCCCTGGATGAGCGACGCCACTGCCTGGAGCGCCTCCATTTGATTGATCCGCGCGCGCGCTAGCGATCAATCGTGCAATGCCGTTGAAAATGGAGTGGCACTGGATTCCGGCCTACCTGGAATTGGGGGAGAGATGCGCGAGAGGTCATCGCAATCGCAAGAACCCTATACACACTCCCAACAGTGCTTTCATTGACTAAGTCAATGATTCGACGACATTTTGTCCAAAAGTCAAACATTGACTTCACAGGCGCCATGTCAGCCCTATCACGTGTACAAACGACCGACTTACCAGCTGGCAGAGTTGTCGGTCTGCCAAGTGTACATACTTCTCGCACATCCAAATAGTTTTTCAGATGGAAATGGGGATGCGCTGTGGATTCTTTGGAAAATCGTCAGTCCCAACTGCGAAGGCGATGTGCTCTGGATTAGATTCCGAGAAGAAATCCCGCGATTGCCCGAGCACTCTCTACTACAGCGGCAATCTCATCGATTGTGGGCCTTGCCGGCGGCTGTGCGTTCGTCCCCGCTACATCGCGGCGCTCGAGGAGGAGAAGATCAGGTCGTGGCCGCGAAGAATTCCAGCGCCGGGACCCCTGGATCCACTCCAGGCGCTAGGATCGGTGCTAATGCAAGAGAAGATCTTCCCCATGCTCGCGTCTGTGGATGTGGGCAAGTGCCTGGCGGTGTCCAAGAGCTGGAGGACCTGCGCTGTGCACGATTGCGTGTGGAAGAAGCGCTGCGAGGGGCTATCGTATGGCAAGCTCATGCGATGGAATCGCTACTACGTCTTGTATAAGTTGCTCGTTCTGGAAGTGGATCAAGGCTTTAGACCGCCATGGCGGTGTGAGATTCTTCTTGGAACCGCCTGAGAAGTGGCACGTAAGGAGTACCACGTGTAAGAAATATATGCTGCCAAGTGGACAAGTTAGATTTTCTGGAATCTCGAATGTTTTTCGCGAATATTCTAAAGGGTTTAAAGCCCTAGAAAGGGTTTATGGCAAGGAGGGTGTTTCTCGCGAGCGTTGGAACAGCAGGGGCAGCAGCGGCAGCTCTCTTGTTTTTTGGCGATCGATTTCAACCGGCTGTCGCCGAATCGGGAGGAGCAGCGGCAGCGACCAAGGTTGGGATCGAAACAAGGGATTTTTCCTCTTTTCCTCTTTTTGTGTGTGTGTTTTGATTGATGCTTGCGCTTTCTCGCAGATTGGGCAGTTCAAGGCGAGTGGATTGCTCTTCAATGACATTGTGGAAGTCATTGCTCTTCCCGATCCAAAGGTTTTCTCTTTTTGGTCTTTGGCTGGGACGCTCTTTCCTAGCTTTTTTTGTTTTTGTTTTCTCCATAGATTGAAGGCATTACAATTCACATCTCCAATGTCAAGCGATCCCTGACCGAGCGTCTCTCAAGGGATTTCTTCACAGATCCTTCCCAGGTGAAAAAAAATCTACGTTTTTTTTCTACTCGTTCGATGAGTGATATTACTTTTACAGGCTTCTGTTTCTGCATCTCAGACAGGCCCGCTGAGACTGGTTTCGCCAATCGCCCTCGGTTTGAAGGTTAAAAAAAATTAAAAAATTCCATGACTCTTTCTCGAGTTTTTTTTTTCTTTCTCGGGCAATGTAGGGGGAAGAGGTGTTCAGTGCAAAGAGGAACCTGTTCTTCAAGGTAAAATTTTTGTGCTTCTTGCTTTTACTGTAAATCTAATCTGGTCTGTTTGGTTTCAGACAATGCACGTCCGGAGGTGCGCTTTTCTCTTTTTGCTTTGTCCCCTAAAACTTTCTAAAACTTTCTACTTTTCGTTGATTATTTCCTGGCAGGATTTATGATGAAGCCAACAATGCGCTTGTTTACGTAGCTTACAGCACGAGAGTCAGCCAAGATATGTCGGAGCCAAATAGCAGGTTTCTATCTTTTTGTTTTTCTTAAAGCTTTGTATTTTCTAGATTTAACGGTTTCTGTTTTTAAAACACAGATATAGAACTTCTGTAAGCAGCATTAGTCTCTACGGCCAGAATTTCAACGCCAAGCAACTAGAAGAGAATGTTGAGTAGAAATGGACAACTGTTAATCCATGGCTGTACAGAATCTACAAGAAGAGTAAATCAAGCTCTTCGATTTTTTATAACCTTTTGTCCTGTTTCCTTCAAAGTTTTGGCTGGCCGAAGCCATAGCCAGCACGCTTCGTTGCTCCTGCCAGAGTTCCAAGCTTTCAAACATACTGGCCATGAGAACGTATGCCGCGCCTTCGTTCCTGTCCAGCCTCATCACAGCTTTGAAAGCCAGCTTCGCCACTGCTACGTTCTTCCACTTTCGACAGGAACTTAGAATCGTCGTCCATGTCACCGCAGTAGCTTGCCAAGGCATCCTCCTCTCGGCAAGTTCTACTGCCTCGTCGAGAAGATTTGCTCGTCCAAGAGCGTCGATCATGCAGTGATAGTGCTGGATCTCTGGCTTGACTCTCATCCCTTGGAAGTAATCCCCGGCTTTGGTGACAAGCCCGGCGTGGCTACACGCTGCAAGCACGGAAAGATACGTGATGTTATCCGGCTCTAGGCCTTCGAGCAGCAAGCTGTGAAACCAGGTAAATACCTCTTGTGTTGCTCCTTTGCTGCTGTATCCCGATATGAGCGAGCTCCAAGTCACTAGATCCTTTCTGGTCATGGATCTAAAGATCTTCTCAGCGTCAGCCATGCTGCCACACTTGCTGTAGAGATTTACCAGAGAGTTTGCCAGGGACAGCTCGGCGGTGTTGAATCCCAAAGCCTCGGCTTCCGCGTGGATCTTCCTTCCGGATTGGAGTGCTCCCATGTTTGCACAGGCGGTGAGAGCGGCGGCATAAGTTAGAGAGTTGGCTCGGCAGCTCACACGTCTAAACAGGTCCAAGGCCAGCTCGTTCTCGCCATTCTCTGCACAGCCAAGGATTAAAGCAGTCCACGAAACAATGCTGTGAGAAACCAACCTGTCGAAGCAGCGACGAGCATCCAGCACGCTCCCACACTTGAAGTACATGTCGACCAAGGTGTTGGCCACGAACAAGTCGGAAGAAACTCCAGCCTCCACAGCTCGAGCGTGAACTTCCATCCCGTTCTCCAAACTCGAAAGCTTGACAACCTTGCCGGACACAAGTCTGCCTTGCTCTTTTGCTCCTAAACCAGCGCAAGCCGTCAAAGCCGCAAGAAAAGTTCTCGAGCTTCTCACACCATCCATGCTCGAAAACAATCTTAAAGCCACCTCGTTTTCACCATTCTCGGCATATCCCTGAATGAGAGCCGTCCAAAGAACCACGTTTCGCTGCTCGTGACTAGTTCTATCAAAAACCCGCTGAGCATCCACTAGAGCTCCGCATCTGCAGTACATATCCACCAGGCTACCCGATAAGAAAACCTGTTCTTGGTTTCTAGAATCTAACAAGTCACCACCAAAGCCTTCCATCTTCTTGACCCTGTTCCCAGTTTCCAGCTGCGAGTGAATCTCCATCCCCTTCTCTAAGCTCTTAAGCTTCACAGTTTTACCGCCAACTTGAGCCCCTTCTTCTCGGTCCGCCAAGCTCGCACAAGCCGAAAGCACCACGACATAAGCCCGGGAATCCGGCTCACACTTGCAAGCTTTCATTCTCTGGAAGAGCTCGAGAGCCACCTGAGCTTCCCCGTTCCTGACATATCCCCGCATCACCGTCGTCCATGACACAACGTCCCTGGAATCCATCCCCCGGAAAACTTCCCAAGCATCAGCCATGCTTCCACACTTCGCGTACGTTTCCATCAAAGCGTTCGCCACGAAGATCTCCTGCGAGAGTTTCCCTTCAAATTTCTGCGTAGCTTGCAAGTGAATGGACTTTGCTGCCTCCAAGCACCTAGTTTTGTGGCAATCGTCTTCTTTCTCTTCCACCAAGCTAGAGCAAGCCATAAGCACAGCAACGTAAGTGTTGGACGAGCACCACTCTTCTTCCATACGAGAGAAAAAAATCTCCAGAGCTAAACCAGCTTGCCCGTTCTCGACGTATGCTAGTATTAACGCGTTCCACGAGACGGTGCTGTGGCTCGGCATTCTCTCGAAAATTACTAGCGCATTGGCCACGCTCCCACATCGGCCATACATCCTCACCAGAGAATTTGAAATATCGATCCCGCAGAAGCCCTGGATTAGTGAGCTGCAGTGAACTCTCCGGCCGCATTCTAAATCCTTCGTGACGCCGCACGCCCGCAGCGCAAAGACTATATCGCTTACCTCAAAAGTGAGATTCACTGGCTCGTCCAAGAACGGAATCCACCCACGGAACATAAGCCCTAGCTTTCCAATGCTTCTTTTTATATCTCGAGATTAAATACTATGATTACATTTTTAATCAATTTTTCTGTGTGTTGTAGCAATTTTTTATAAAAGAATTGGTTTAATTTTATTGGTTATATATAAAATTAAATAAAATTAAACTCTCAATTTTTTATTGATTTACCATTTCAGACTAATTACTGGAAATCAAGGAGAAGCTAGAGACAATTTATTAGTTTTGCATCTAACAACATTTGTTTTGCTGTGTTATTCTTTTCTAGTATTATTTATTAATCCGAATTATAACTTAGAAATCTAAGAATAAACTAGAATATACTAGGAAGTGTTCACTAAAGTTTATAAATTACAATATGTTTATAAAGTATAAATACAAGATTAATCTAAAGCAAACCAAAAACATACCTATTATGCAAATTCTATTGACAAAGTATGTATTAGTGTTCTATAATTTTTTAAGGTAATAGTTGATATATATTCAAACTAGGAAAAGTCCCAGCTTTCCTTGGGTAAAATAATTATTAAAATTTAATTAAAAGATAGGATAAACTATTGAATTAACAAAATGAGCATATTAGTGATTTTTCTAAACCTTGTGAGGTCCAAGTGTATGGATACAATATTGTAAACTATTATTAGTGTAGTGAAATTTTGGTAGCTATCAAATTGGTACTAACTCTTATAATTGTTTGGATTTGTGTTTTTTTGTTTAAATCTAGCTTTTACATCATCTAAATTTTTTTTATTCTTGTAAGTTTTTCCAATACTATTCTTTTATTTCACCTCTTCTTTTTATATACATTCATAACAAAGTAGCATATTCCTCTTTTGCAGTAGCTTTCTCCTCCTCATTTGACTTTGGAGTAATAATTGATGCAATTGCTTAATGTTATATGGTTGTAATTGAATAATCAGGCTTAATTGATAGTGATAACATTCATGATACATGGTGTAACTCTATCCTACTCTTGCCATTGATTCTTAAATTTTTTCTGCAAGAATTTTGAAGATGATGTGTACTGTTGGTTTAAACACTTTATAGCACTTGGGATGATGCCTAGTGTTTGCATAAATTTCTCACATATTTTCAAAGGATATTGTTACAATGGTATAATGGTCTGAGCATAACCACTTATATAGATTGGAGCTGTTTCCTAAAATGTCTTCAAATGCATATTAGATGACATATTTTAGCAATTATATCATTTCTTTCATGAGCTATCTAATTCAATTATGCAGTTTAGTATTTATTTCGACTTCACATGGAGCCAAATATATTAGAGTGAATCAAGTTAGGCATTTATGGCAAACACTTTGTCAAAATCATATGGAGATTTTGCATGCACTTGCCCTAGCCACCTTTAACAACACTTTTCAATTAACACAATGCTATGAAACATCATTTCTCCCGCTTATAGTTGCACATGTTTTAGTTTCACTTTCTATAGGAAATGATTCTATTATGATGGAAGTTAATGTTATTATTGCTCATATTCAAAACAATGACGAGGATGTGGTCATGGCTGCAATATTTGCTACTAAGCATGTGATGAAGCCACATATATCAACATTGTTAGCAATTCTTAGATTGATATCCTCTATTTCCTAGATGGAAATCTAATGAGAAGAAGAAATTTGCTTGCAATTCTATAAAAATAGTGCAATGAGGACATAATTGTTAATGCTGGTGGGGATGATATAAATGATAAATAAGATAATTAGTATTTAGAAGAAGAACTTGAAGAAATAAAAAATGCACTAGAACTCTCATCATTTGTAGTTTAGGTAAAATAAGTTATTTTCTATTGCCTCTATCCTTGACACTTCTTTATAAGGTGGCTATTTGTCATTTCCGATAATGAGGATGACTAATAAAAGAAGATTCATCATTCCTAGTTCAAATTCTAATGGGAGCAACATGCAATCACCTATGTGTTTAAAAGATCTTGAAATTGGAGAAATACTAAAGTAAGCTTTTCATTAGTTTTGTTGACATCTTTGTAACAATTGCACATGTAGGTTTGAATATATTGGTCCCGAGCATGTGAGTAGTATGCATGAAAAGTTCATATAACCTTGCAAAAGAATGTGAAATTCCAAGTGTTACAAATAAAGAAGATTGGTGTTTTTAAGCATACAATAGGAGTAATAAAGATCGCTACTTTAGAATCTTGTAATAACAATATGATAGTCATAGTAACATGGTTGAAGACTAAGGTTTTTAAGCAATATGAGATAGCAAATATAGAGGATAAGGACATAGTGGAAATAGTAATAGAATCCCTTAGCTTATAAGAAGCTCTTTTCTATGTTGAGTTTTTAATAAAAATGCAATGCCATATTGGCAGGAGTGGCTGTTATCATGGAAAAACAAGTGTTATGGAGAAAAGAAGGAAACAAAGGGGAAAATGGAAAAGGGGTTGGAATGGTGAAATCATGAAATGGTTGGCTCAGTTGAGTATTTGGTTGCCAGTCGGATTACAAGTCTGACGAGAATAGAAAGAGAGGCTACATGATTGGCCGGTCGTACAACTCCTTGATCCACACTAAGAACTTGGCTGTCAATAGAACTGAAGGTAGGCAAGGATGGCGCAGGCCACAAAATCAACAAAAACCCAGAACAAGTGAATGCACTGATACAATAGAAAGGAAAACTGAGTGAAAACTAAATGCATCTCAGTGTCAATCCCAGAACACAGAGTAGGAAGTCAAATCTCACAAGCAGTTGATAAAGAAAATTTTTACAAAGCTTTTCTTTGTGTAGAGTAGAGATGGGATAAAATTATCACTCTCACAGCTAGCCTATTTATACTAAGTCCTGGGCAACCATGTCCA